CTGCGTGTGAGCTTTGTATCCTATGAATCATTTTGCGTTTGCCTCTGGAATGGTTAATGATTATTGTTGTTGTAACCGAAAAAGGCTGGGTATTTCCGGAAAATGTGAAAAGATTTAGCAGTCTTATAGCAGTCTAAAATTCTCGGGCCGGGCTTGTACTTAGACGTATTGCATGTGTGGTAGAAAATGCCAGCGCAGCCGGGCCCGCGCTCAAGCTCTGACTCAGACTCTTACCGCTCAAACTCTGACTACTCAAAGTCTGACTCTGACTTTCCAAACTCTGACTCTGACTGAATAACCTAAGAATACCTAAAGAAACTTAAGAATAACTTAAGAAACCTGAGAAAACTAAGAAACCTAAGAAACCTAATAAGAAACCTAACAAACCTTCAGAGTCAGAGTCAGACTTTGAGTAGTCAGAGTCAGAGTTGGAGTCTGGGCCGCGCAGCCTTCATGTACGTTACTGGAGGATTATGCAGATGTCACCTATTGCCTTCCCTTCATGTTCCATTTAACCATAATTTTCGTTTTTGCAAGAAGCCAGCTTTAAAAGAAAGTTAAAAAGTATTTGCAAACTTAGAAATATTCCACAGCGAACAACAGGCAGGTTTTAACGGTACATTGCGAACTTATCGTCACCCGGATGTTTTTATGCTTACGACAGAAACGCGTAGCGCTGTGCGGGAACGAATCAGTTTGTAACCGGCGGAACCATCCGGACGGATCAACCGTCCGCCGGACACTTTGGCCTGTAAGCCGACAAACTCAAGCCCCATTCCGGAAGTCCCAGAAGGCCTGGGAGGAGACCATTATGCAACGTCTCCTTATCCACCCTGCTGCAACTGTTTCAAGGCACGAGATCAGTACAGCGCGTTTACTTGCCCGGTTTAGGCCGGAAGCCGGCGTCTGGCTAAACGTTTTGCCTTTGGCCCACATCGGCAAACTACTAGGTGACGACGAACGGAAGATCAGCGTTGGTCTCCGCCTCGGTGCCACGATCTGCGACCCTCATGACTGCGCTAAATGCCATAAACCACTTGATGGTTAGGAGCACCACGGGCTGTCATGTGCCTTTTCCGCCGGACGGCATCCGCGTCACGGAGCGTTAAACTGCATATCGTGCATGAGTTTTGTATCCGCTGGCGTACCTGCAAAACTAGAGCCGCGCGGCACCTCTCACACCACCGAACGCCGCCCGGACGGCTGCACGACACTCGCTTGGAAACGCGGGCTGTGTCTCGCATGGGACGTTACATGCGAAGACACTGTTGCGCCGTCGCATGTCAAAGCCACTGCGGAAGCGGCCGCAGTGCAAGCAGAGGAAAAGAAATCCAGATTTTACTCTTAGCTGGATGGCCGCTACCTATTGGTACCGATTGCCTTCAAGACGCTTGGTTCATGGGGACCGTCGGCGATTGCAATCATCAAAGAGCTAGGGAAAAGACTTAAACAGCACACTGGAGAAGCACGTTCGCACCAATTTCTGCGGCAGCGGTTGTCGATAAAAATCCAAAAAGAAATACAGCGTCATTGCGGGCACGATGGAAGCGCAGGAAGAACTGCATGAACTGTAGCTGTATAGTTTCTTTTTTTCTCTAACAGTTCTGTAATGAGCTTGATCCGCAATTAGACGGCAAACCGTATAAATGCTCAGCAATTCAGTATAGATGTTCAACCGGATAAATGTTTACATAACGATTCGCGCTTTTCTTGGGTTAACGTGACCCTTTTCCCCCATAACGTCTTCGAAACACCGATGAAAAACATCACCGTCCGGCGCGTCCGCTACGGCGACTCAGCGGAGATGGTCTGAGCGATGCGCTTCAACTTTCTCCCCGGTATCATGACCAACCGCTTCCTGTGGCGCAAGGGAACCACCTTGTTGATAGGCAGGTCTATCCTGGGGCTGGAAGATGAGGTCACTGCGTGGACGGACATGAATGGAACCGTCTATTTTGGTGAGGATGTGCAGCATCGGTGTCAGGCGAGAGTGCGAGAGTGTCAGACGATATACGAGTAGGTAGTTACTAGGTAATAGGTACGCTCCTGTCATGGTATAATACGTATCATATTAATTTTGACGATCCAGTGGCCGTCATGTTGCTTATTTATGGGCCGGCAATCCATGTGCTTGTGATGTTTATGGTACACCGGAATTATTCTTTATCCAAAAATTTACGTTAAAGCAATAATATTTTGATCGATGCTGCGTGCACGGGTGACCTTTTTGGGTCCGCACGGATGTTGGCTGTGTACACGGCTTTTTCAGTTTTCAGTTTTTATGATTTTCGGTTTTTAGTCATAGCATTTATAGTTTTCCAGGTCTTATTCAACCACAACAGGTTTTTCGACCGGTTTCTGACCTATTTTTCATTTGCCACAAACTACTTATAGAAACTAAACAGATACTTTGTTTTACGGCACAGAATTCTTCTACGCGGCTTGATGCAAGTGTGGATAGTGTCGGTTACATGCTTCATAAGCGCCCACCAAGTGTGTCCGCAATTTTGCATGAGACCCTGCTCAAAAGTGACCGTTCCAGGATTCTTCCCGAAAAGGAACGCGGTAGCCATGGCTATATTACAGAAATTCTCACGTGGCCATTTTACACAGAAATGGCATGATCAGATTACCTTATTACAAAAATCTTCATGGAAAAAAATATTACAGAAATTCTCATGTCTTCGATCTCTTCTTACGGTGACTTTCAAGTACTTCATGGTACTGCACTAACAAGCATCCGCTGGTAGCCTGGTAACACAGTAGTTATATGAATACTGATTATCTGTGCCAGGACTTCGGCCCCTGTCCTTTGAGGCAAAGGATCTCGGCTTCTACTTCACCAATTTTGTTGCTTTAAAGTACATCCAATTTCTCTAGGTGTAGCGGTGGATCCCAGATTGTGACTTTTGCCAAAATCATTTGTTAGGTCCAGTGGTCAATCATAGGCTTGTTACCATGGACGCGATAAGAAATGCACACTCTTCTAACACAACTTGACCCAGAACAGTAGAAATATTTGAGCTGCTACTTAACAATAAGTACTAGTACGAGTACAACACAAAGTAAAAAATTCATGTAACTCAACACGTTAGTCATCATCACGTTAGTCTTCATTGCAAGTTATGTACCGTATGTACAAGTAGACAGTCCGTGTTTCGATTAATTTATGTAAAGCGTATCATAATAATTATAGATACTACTAAACATACGTACGGCTTCATAAATATTATTTTTAGTCTGTGAGCTACCGCAAAGCAACACATCCTTGGAATTACTTATTTTGTAATAGTCATCGGCCAATATTCATCCGTGCTGGGCTTGTAATAATTACGCAAAACAATTATAATAAAAATATTAAAACGATGCTCTTAAAGCATCTCAACTGGAACTGCTTATACAGCGCTTCCAGGGAGCAGTCGACTGTTCAGGTTGGAAAAGGATGCAAGGTCACGAAGCAGCTATGATTACGATTACCAGAATTGATGAACACCAATTCACTGTGCGGCCAGATCGCAGGCCTAACTTTATTAGTACGTCCCGTACGAACGGAAGAAGAAACAAAACTAAAATCAATTTTAGAAATAGAATGGGCAGCTTCCGATAAATTTGTCTAGTCTGGTCATGCTATCCGCATGGTGAGCTGGTCAGAACAGGTAGCCAGTGCCACACATGGTAAACCGCTTAGACACGTTCATTCGCTTTAATATACTCGTACATTTGTTTAAATTATAAAAATTTAAATTTCCCCGTGCACGCAGCCAACGCCCGTGCAGGAATCCCGTGCCCGCAGCCAACACCCGTTCGAAACTCCGTGCTCGCAGCCAACACCCGTGCGGTCCCAAAAATATTGCATGCAGCCAACACCCGTGTTTACCCGTGCACGCAGCCATAATATTGTAATATTTTAGGTTGTGCTGATGTTAACCTCAGTTTGTTAGATTAGTGTTTCATTTCTACCAAAAACTTCCTCAAGCCTGTGCGTATTTCACCGGCATCGTCATTGATTATTCGGCAAAGCAGCCTCTGCGAATCTTATGCAAGAAAGCCTGTAAAACAACTGTATAATTGTGAAACATCGCCGGGCTGCAAACCTGGAAACTGATTAAACGCACGCTATAAGTACACTCCAGTTAATTGGAAGTGATTTACTAGTGCATAATTACATATTCCATATATTAACGGATTGGCGGCCAATCAATTCAAAGGACTGGCGAGCAAAATGACGGATACTAGGTCGTCAAAATTAATATGACAAGCATCGTTATGTCATGACAGAAGCGTACGTACAGTACGTCATTGCTCAACAAGGGTTTTAATATTAGGCGCACAAGCAAAAATGTGCACAAGCATAATTATTACAAATTCATTCCATTTTTATCTGTCTCGCTCGACATTGTCATGGTATAAATTATTATTATAAAAAGTAACCATATGAAGTTTATTCACAAGTTGATCAGATGCATTATCTATATATTTTAAGTAAGAAGTTGCTTTCATAATATAAATAACGTACAGCATTTAAAAATAATTATTACCGGGATGTGTGTGATGCGCGTGTTTAAAAAACAGAACGCGAGTTTATAAATTTTACGCGATATCCTGCGGTTTTGCCCGGCCGTCAAATTGTCCATTTTGACGCCTAAATCCTGACCGTTTTCTTATTAGGCTAATTTTTTGGGCCGGCGAATTTCTGTTGTACCTGTATATAGGATAACAGCATAATTAATCAGGTTTGCTTCATTAAGAAAGAGATTTTATGTAGTGAAATGCAGCAGATAAAATGACACATGTACGGAAGATGTCTTGCAGATCAATCAAAATTATTATCACTGATTTTCTGCGGCTGTGATATTCGGACATCGATGTGCGTGTTGTACAGCCCGTAGCCATTTATTTTAAGCACACACCGTTTTGCGGGCTTTCGCTTAATTTAGGCTTTTGGCTGGTTAGTGCAGGCGCTCTTCTACTTCCGGCTCGAACGCCGTTCACCGCGTGAGTTCTTCACCGGTAAATTTTTTTTCTTCGGCTTTTCACGCATCGCTGCATCGATGACATAATTCGGCGCGCACCTGCGTATTGTTCGAACCGTGTGCTGATTGTTCACCATGGATAGTACAATATTATAATTTTTTCCTTTTAATTACTTATTGTGTCATCCATCTGTTTATTTACTGCATGCATGGGTTATTTTTTATATTAGTTTTGTATAATATTGTCATTTTTATATGCACGTTTTAGTTTTATTTTGTTTATTAATTTTCGCCAATAATTCATATTAATATTTTGACGTAAAAACGTCAGCACGTGAAATGCGTATTTATTCGAATTCTTTATTATTTCGCCTTTTGGTGTTTCTTTGGCTGCCGCTGTTGGGAATTTACGCTTATTATCAGCACAACCGATGTTTTGGTAAGTCATGATTGTTGATTTATGCTGTTTTATTGCGCTGTTCCATGTTGAGTAATATGAGCGATTACCTTTCAATGAACTGATTTGATGCCATAAAAAGCTGATTTGATGTGCAGAAAGATTATACAGTTAATTTTTAATGAATTTATTCGTCACCGCAGTTTTATTAATTAGGCACCGGCGACTGTATAATTGCGATTGGCTACTTGGGAGGCGGTTTCACCGATGAATATCACAGATGGATGGCCGAATGCGGTGATGGGGAAGCGTTAATCGGTAAGTTAAAACCCTATAATGCATTTGCAATTAATTTCTTATAAGGGCAATTTGCTGCATTATTCTGTGTAAATAAATATATTTCGTGTTTGATGTGAATATTGTGAAATAATTTATTTATTAATAATCATTAATCACCATAAAATATATTTACTTTTTAGTTTTTAATAACCAAAATCATTCCGTTTCCATAAATAAATTATTTTGCGTTTTAAGTCAATTTTGTTTACATAAGTAATTTATTTATTAATCAATTAATCACTAAAAATAATCAATTAATCACTTAAAAGCAAAACAGTTATTTTCTTGAAATTGTTTGCTTTCTAAAGATAGATAAAAAATGGTTTTTTCACAATAATATAATTTGAATAGTTAAGATTTGGTCTACTTTATTGCCTGTCTTAAATCTGCTTTAATTTTCCATGCAAAGGCGTGAAAAATAAAATCTCAGATGCAAATAGAGCTCTTAATAAAATAAACAGTGATAGTAATTACAAAGCAATTAATCACGCAAATTCAAGAAAAAGGAAGCCCTGTAGGTTTAACGCTGAACTTGGGCCGCGGGCGCCGATTTGGCCGATATTTTAAGTCCATTGTCCGCACACACATCTGTACACTTGGCGGTTAAATTGCACGCTTAATTGTGGCACAATTGTTTTGATAGAGAAGTTTTTCCGCCCCTGCTCGCGCATTTATTTTACCTTGACAGATTTGTTTCTTGTAGGCATCTACGACACCTACAAACAATTTATGGGGATTTCGCGTAGGTCACATCGGGTCTACCTATGTGTGGCGATCTTTTTTAGGACGACGCCGTTAAATTTGTTGATTAATTATTTTTGTTACAGAAATCTGGTGTTTCTTCATGTTTCCGATGAAACCGCCGTCAAATGGAATTTATCCATTTTATTCGACGTGCAATGTGAGGTCAGAAAAAGCCTCTATTCCTTAATCACACTGAGATAATCTTAATATTATAATATTACGTTAAATTGAGAAGCTGGATTTTTATAAAATCGAAGCATTAAAAATATTAACTATCAAATATTATTCTGTATTAATCTGCGTAGTATAAAAATTTATAGTAATACGGTTAGTATTCATAATTCGTTCTATCTTCATCTGCCCTATTTGTGTAGCGAGGGCTCGTACAGAATATTTGCTTAGGCGAGTTGTAGCAGTATTGGAATAGGCATAAAAACATATTTTATTCATTTTTTTCCGGTATTTTCTCGAAGGGGTAAAATATAATAATTATAATTACGTGTTTTGCGATATTTGCAGAAATATGACAATGCTGGAGTTTTACTGCTATGATAAATATTATCCGATGGACACAGTTGATACCTTTGTAACCGGTAGATGGTGCTCTAAATTTACCATCTTTCAAGCGTCGGAATTATGAATATCCCATACAGTGATTTTCCCTTTAAGCTTATTACGGAGCCACCTCGGCGGATCCTCTGCAGCCTACACTGCAAAAATGCTGTACGTGTGACCTTGCGTTAATTACTTATTATCACACCATTATTATTTTCAGTTATTTCTGTTTTGCTCATAAGTGTTTAAAGGCGCACATACCGTAATTATCGAATTAGAAGCCCAGGGTTACAAATATTTTAAAGGTCACTTCTATGCGCCCCAAAATTTTAGGGCGCATAGTTAATTTGCTATGCGCCCAAAAAATTTGAGGCGCCTAGTTAATTTGCTATGCGCCCCAAAATTTCCGGTCAAAATAGAAAAGCCAGTAGTTCAAAACGTTATGGAGCGTTAAAACATGGTATCAGCGAATCCGTAATGTTGCTGTGAAAGTGGTACAGACCAGGCAAATATTGCAAAAAAAAAATGGTCATGCTTGTACTCGTACAACGCATTACGGCACTTTAATCCAAAACATTATAATACAAATAATTACGATGGCTCACTAACCAGGCATAATCAGATTTTAATTCAAAAGAAATTGCTGCAGTATTTCCTATTTAATCTGTCATAGACTAAGAAAAATGTAAGGTTCCGTGATTATTGATTGAATTTACGAACTTTATTAATGGGGTACTTGTACTCCTTAATTTTGGTGAACAAAGCCGACAGATAGTTTTCTTTTTTCAGTCAGGCAATCTCTACGTTAAAATGTTGAAGCATGGATTCGTAATGCCTATAGAAGCCATAACGCATTGCTAACTAAATAACACATAACCAGTGCTGAAGAAAACCTAAATAAGCAGACAAATTTTGTTTTTACCAACTTGCCAGATGCAGAGTACGTTTGATTATAAATTTAGATGATAACTATGCCGAAACACAGGTATACAAGTACAGCGAAGTTAAAAGTCTACCTTTTTATGTCACTATGTACCGGTAATTGTTATTATGATAACTATTTATCTTTAGAAAATAATATTTTCCAGTATTTGTTTTTTTTCATATATTCCAATATTTATTTCATATATTCCATTTGATATTCTCATATATATCTCACAATAAATGTCCGAAAAACTGTAAACACGGCTGAAACACCCTCTGTAATCGAGACAGTGGCATGGAATTATGGAAGCCGTCTCGGAAGCGCGGCCCAAATACCGGTAACCACAGAAAAACTGGTTGCAGTAAGCTATTAATACCGATAATCGCAAAAGAAAGAAATTGATGAAATTCATGAAAAATGAAATTTTTACCGGTTAAATAGATAAGGTCAACGGTGTGCCATTTATACTTTTACAGCCTAAATACGAAATGTGCCAATTCAAGTCTGGTAAATCTAACTGGTAAATCAGCGGGGTACATATGTACTGTACAGTGTACACATACACGAAAAAATGCATCAGATTTCGCGGACAACTCAAAAACAGTGAAAAAACTTCTAAAAGGAGATAAAGAACGTAAAATTAATTTTCCCGTTAAAAGAAAGTAATAAAAACGGTAAAAATGGAAATACAAAATTTTTAACTGCAATTTTTTGGGCGCATAGCAAATTAACTATGCGCCCTAAAATTTTGGGGCGCATAGCACTTTCGTATTTTAAAAGACCCACGCGGTGGGCTCCAATTACGGGCATGGGCCTGTACTGGGGGGGGGGAGGCATCAAATTCGATAATTACGGTAATAGGACAACCGATTAAACAATTGTAAAAGTTTTTTGTAATTGTAATTATAACAATTGTCAACAGGCAAAACGCCACCGGGATATAAAATTGATTATACGCGCTGCGAGTGGAAGTACACACATGATAGGTAAGGAAATAAGGGTTGTTCCGGTTGTACACTGTACAGTAGAGCATCATATGCATCCAGCTAGTACTCTGTACATCACCGTATAATTAGGACGTTTTGTTTCGGAATAAAAAGTTTAACACGTTCACCTTTGCTTCTGCAGAGCCGGTGAACATTACGACGGGTATTGGATTGTTAAATGTGATACGCATTACGTCATGACAGGTATGACCTTTCGAAATCGTATTGTTTAAGTACTCGTGCCAATACAGCGCTAATCTAACCATAAGCGGTCTGTACAGACTATACCTAGTACATACTGTGTTTAATAATTGTTAGAACAGAAAAAAACCTGTTTTTGATTGGAAAATTCCAGTCGTTCCTTGGAATATTATCGTTTCGTCCTTGTGTCATTTTCGTCTGTCAGTTATCTGTGCTGTCATTTGTCGGTCATACGAATTACTGATAATTCGTATGTCTACTATACAGTTTATACATAGCCCAATAATTATAGGGCTGTAAGCGATAGTTACTTCGATAATATACATGTATGTACATTGTAGGTACTGGTTTTGCTACGAATCCCTGGGATAATCAGCTGCACGTGGTATGGATACAGGTACGGTTGCGCTAACAGCTGCTTTATCCCAAAATTAAAATCGAAATTCATTTAGAAAAAAAAATCAGTTACATTGCGGCGGTTTATAAATAATAAATGATTAAATTAATTAAAAATATGCTGACCGCAGTGCTGTCCGGTGGTAACGGTGCCGGGCGCCCCGAATCAGAACCTGTACGCGAACAAACCGCAGCAGATGCTGGATTACAAACCCTCCATGGACCGACTGCGGAGCCTCGGCTAAATTCCCATGACTTTTTGCCATACATCCCATAATGCAATCTGTGATTTTTCTTGTTGACTGTTAAGTTGATTGGCCAGTATATTTACATACTGTGTATTTATTAAAATAATTACTGCATTAATTGTCCGCATCTATAGCATGTATACGAAATTATTATTGAGAGTATTCAATGATCTTCGATGGTGTACATTGTGTATAGCAAAGGTTCTCGCATGCGGAAATTGCAAACATGGGTTAATTAATGGCCGTTGTTGGGATGCGGTGAAAGATGCCCGTGTCCGCCGCCGTTACTATGGCTAATATGGCTGAGGTGGCCGTGACTGTGGCTGTTGTGGGCGTGGCCGGGATTCAGATTGGTCAGATCGCTGCGTTTGCGCCGGTGGCCGGGGTGGTGGTCCGCTCCCGGGGGCGGGAAGGGCGGGGGATGGGGACAGGTCAGGGTACACGGACAGGGACCTCCGCAACGGATTCCCGCTTCTGTAAATTAACGTACAAGTTGCCTTTCCAAAAACACGCAAAATTATTGATAAAAATTAAAAATTAAAAAAAAAACAATTTAGACTTTAGTAAATAATATTTGCAATTTAAATAATATCAATCCCGTTTTGATTCATGTACTTTTTCCGTATAAGTTATACTTGTCATGAACGTTTTTCGATACAGCAGCTAGTGTAATTCCGAATATTTTTGGAATACTTATTATGCAGTCTAACTATACAGTGCAAAGAATGTTATACAGCGTTTATTATTGTAAAAAATATGTAAAATTAAGCTGAAATGAAATCTAAAAGCTTCGACAAGAAAATTCATTAAACTACGTAGTAATTCTTGAAGTGACCTTTCTACTTACTGGGATTGTCATGAAGGTAGACCACCGCGGCATGCCCCGATGCGGCGGTATGGCCATCGCTAAGGCATGCCGGCTCATCCTCTTCCGGCTCCTCCTCTTCGCTGGATTCCTTCTCCCGATGCCCCGCTTTTCCATGGTCCGGTTCGACTTCGTTACCGTGACTCTCCAATGCATGCTCCAACCAATAAATCTCCGCTTCCTTGGCGCACAACCGGCCGCCCAGCGCTACCGAGAAAGCCATAGAAAATGTAAAATAACTAAATAACTGGTATAAAATTAATAAAACCTTAAACTAACCAGGGAACATTTTCCGCCTCCAAAATAAAAAAATTCTCATATTTTGTAAAACGGTAGTGTACTATTGTAGTATGCTTAAAAAAATATTTTTAGCTGCCATCGTCAAGGGGGCGTGGCCAGAAAACAATTAAAAGTCTGCATACTATCATATGCTGTGTAATGCAACGCAGTACAAGTTATTCGTAATTATGATGTTAACTTTTCCTGCAGCACCGTGGACCTTTTGCAGCTGTCCGCTGTCGTGAAATGATGTAATTAAAAGAGCCCCACGTGCGTCGGCTCACGCCATTGCTGCCTGGGTACACATTTTCGAAAATTTTTCATCGATTTGTGTTGTAAACAATAAGTTGTGCAAGAAACTTTTTTCTGCTAATAAACAGATATGTGCTGCACTTTCTGAATTAACATAACAAATTTCTGAAAATGTGCACACAGGCAGCAATGGCACGAGCCGACGCACGTGGGTTTTTTTGATGTCGTTTCACGACAGCGGACAGTTGCGAAAGGTCCACGGTGCTGAAGGAAAAAGTTAACATCATAATTACGAATAACTTGTACTGCACTGCATTACACAGTATGTGATAGTATGCAAACTTTTAATTGTTGTCTGGCCACGCCCCCTTGACGATGGCAGCTAAAAATATTTTTTAAGCATACTACAAAAGTACACTACCATTTTACAAAATATGAGAATTTTTTGAATTTAGAGGCGGAAAATGTTCCCTGGTAAGACCTGCATGTAATAAAATTTGAATTAAAATAAAAATTAAGTTAAAATAAAAGGAAAATTAAATTCATAACTTTTATAAATTTGACTATTAAGCCCCATGAGGCGGTAGGCGTACTTGCGTTCTTGGCCATGGCGTTAACAAACTCGCAGGGATTCGTGTAGTTTTTTCCGTCGTTGGCGCAGATCACCGGATGGGGCGGGGGATGAGGCGGCGGGTGGGGCGGGGGCGAAGGGTGACCGCTGCTGGCATGACTGTCGGTATGAGGGGGCGGTGGCGGTGGGGGCGGGGCCAGAGGCGGCGTGAACGCGGTGCAGTTGCAGTTGGGCGGAAGCACCGTCGGCGCCGCTACGCTGGTGATTGTCGTGCTGGAGGGATGGTGGGCGAAGAGGGCCCACGCCGCGGGATGACCTTTACTTAATGCACAACTTAATTATATAGTATCGGCACGTAAAAGCTAAAAATATATACATTGTATATTAAGAATCACCCGCAAAACTGAAAAGGTAAAATTAGGAATTAAATTGTTCGGACAATTAAAGTTCCTAATATTTTTATTAGCAGTAAGTAATTATGACGCGTTGGCAAAATACCGTATAGCAGCCATTTAGCAATTATTGTCAAATAAGGAAATATCCCACCATTTTTAAAATATTTGTTCGCATGCTAAGGATAATAAAATAAAACAGAATTCTGTAAAAAATGAAAAAAATTGTGTACCTGTAGTATAAAAATCTTCGCTGGTTCAGGTGTTTAAATTCGTTCCACGTAAAAACAAGTAATAAAATTAGCGAAAGTAATATCATTACAGCTAAATAAATAATTCAAGGATTTTTAATGACGCATACCTGTGACAAATAAGAAGCAGGCGAGTGCGCTTAACATGTTGTATGAATAAATCCTCAAAAATTCCGTTGGATACATACAAACAATGCCGCACCGGCATTTCCGCTACCGGCTTTTTATATACTCGCCTTTTTCGTAAATTTCTTTACACAATGCAGCATTGTTTTGGCCGTTCGGCAACGCTGTTTAAAAGGGACGTCCTGTGAAATTGACTGCACTTCGGCAACGTGAGCATGCGGACCGGCTTAATCATGTTGATGCTGCCCGGGCTAAGCGAACAGTCGGCGAATTGTCCAACATCATGGCAAAACAATCACCACTGAAAGAACCGCTTTCTATGGATTACTGCTGAGGGGACAGTTCTCAGGCTTTGCCGCATGAACCCGCATTGGAAGGAGATTCAAGTGGTCAGGGAATTAAATTTCTTCTGACGCGTTGTTGCGAGCTAAGAGCGAAACATGTGCGTGTTAACTGATGTAAAATTATGTCAGGGTGTAACAGGAGTTTGTATTGCAATACCGTAAATTGATAAACTGATATTATTTTAGTCAAAAAATTACAAAATAATTACGTTAGCTCAAATGTACAATTAACGAGACAAATAAAGGACACAAAGTATTAAAAAATAATGAGTATCGTACAATTAAAAGAGGGCAAAAATGTATATTCTGCAAGTTAACTTCATTCAGTTATTATACATGGCAATCCGATTTTTTCTCGGTTCAGTTGTCATCTGAAGCTAGCTGCGCGGAGCCACACAAGCCCATAGACTACAATATCGTATGTAAACATACTTAAACGGAATTTTTGTATTGCCGGAATAAAAATAAAATCGAACGATTTTATTCAGGTATAATTAATGGCTGCAATAATAAGCGTGCGTGTCTCGTAGGCACCGATTAAAATTATCAGAAATTTTAATTTTGAAAATATAAGAGAAACCCGGATGTGAAAATATCAACTGACAACTTCACTTCAAAATTATTCGGACCATGCACTGATAGTGGTCCCAATACAACAGTCGCATTTCCTCTAACGGAATCGCCAAGGTACGTCTTAGGAATTTAATCGGCTTAATTAAACAGAGGTTTATTTTTGCGCATGCCGTGCACATGATCAGATATAAACGAAGCTAATTACGCAATGCGAAGAGAATGCAATGGCAAATCATGCACGAAAATCGGCAAGTGTTGATTACATAACGATGAGTGATGACTAACTCTGCTACTCTACCGCTACATGGGCAAACACCGCACAGTGTATAAGAGGAAATATCCCATGTGGTCTAGTGGCTAGGATTCCGCGCTTTCACCGCGGCGGCCGGGGTTCGATTCCCCGCATGGGAAAACTTTTTGTTTTTTCACGCTTTCACTTCGGGCATTAGGGTTGCTTTGCTTCAACTATACAAAGGCATCAAAAACTTTAAATAATAGACAAATAAGAGCGGAAAACATTTATTGCGGTCTCTGAACTATGTATAACGTACTCTGTACTGTACACACGAATACAACCCTAGCCGTGCAAGCACAACTATTAATTAACGGTTAAAATAAATTACTGTACATGATAAATAAATTAGTGCATCGTAACACACAACCCCTGATAAATAATTCAAACGTTGAATGAATATTTCCTTACTTTGGTTACTACGAGTAATTTAGATGTGGTTCAGCGGCAAAAAAAACAAAAAAAGTTTTCCCATGCGGGGAATCGAACCCCGGCCGCCGCGGTGAAAGCGCGGAATCCTAGCCACTAGACCACATGGGAGTCAGCTCGTTATATTGGTAGCAGATTTGGGCGAACAGAAAGGCAAACCGGCAAAATTGCACGCATCCACTTTGAAGTTGGAAGTACGTAAATGTGTATTAGAGCCCCCAAACAGTACGTATACAGTACTGGCGTACTGCCGTATACGGCATACTGTACGGCACAACAGTACGTAACCGTAGTGAAAATTGGTACGGTAACGAAAGTGCCGTACGTAACCGTAAGCCAAAAACAATGGGTTTGTATAACTATACGGTACGGTCAATCCAGTTATTTTTGCCGTAACCGTACCGTACCAGTAGGAGCCGTAAGCGGAAACCGTACGTAGCCGTATAGAAATTTGCTACTGTTTGGGGGCTCTAATGTGTATGTATATCGCGTTCGATTACCATATATTCACTATAATCTCTATACTCTATAATTCCTTCTTTAAAATTACAAAAAAAAGATTCATGTGTTAAGTAGAGGAGAGCAAGCGGTCTTTTACCTTATTGATGCTTCCGTTGCGTGAGTTTTGTTTACAAAACTTTTAAAAAAAGGGTTATGCGTGCCTTTTCCCCTAATTTTTAATAGGGGTTTTTTGCCGCATAACAGCAAGCGGAACTCAGTAAAGGTTGATATATACTACCAGCCGGAAAAAAATATGAATAGCTAGAGCTTTAACGCTAAACACGTAACCAGACCGCGTACCGACGATGCTGCACAAGAACAGGCGCTGTCATTGGTCAACAGGGTGGTGGCGTAGCGTGCCGCGCTTAATCCTGCTTGGCACAAATATGATCATGATGTGGTTAATCTTCCCTGATGTACACTTTTGATCCGATTTCCGGCGGGGGGTGCACATCGATGACACCAGTAATCAGCACGTGCAGCATCCATTGCGCATTTGTGGGAGGTCCGTTAGGGACTTAAATATAAAGCGCCGGCAATTAATTTTTACATACGCATACGTACATATAGATATTTACGATTAGCAATAAATGGTCGGTTCATATAAATATTCTAGAAAAAGCTTTCGCTGGTGGACACCACTTACAATTAATGATGCAAAATTTAAACGTTAATATTATTAACGTTTAAATCGAATTATTATGTAGTTCGACTTTTAATCTACAATTCGATGGGCAATCAGGTTTTTGGCGTTCATTTCTTTCATCCGGAGTTTCTTATATCCACACACTGGACCAATTAATTCAATGGATGAATGCCGATAAGTAGAAAATTATGAATAGCATTAATTTGATTTGGTAGTAATCAATTTGTAGTGATTAAATAAAGTTAGTAACTATTCTGGGACTGAGAATAAAAACTTGGTTATAAACGGTACGTACTGTATTGATGTACAGTATCATAAGCCGACCACAACGATTTTCCTTGTCTGTATTTAACGCAACGCAACTGTGCGGTTTCTTCGCTCAAAAAATCGAAACACTGGAAATAATTATAGAAATGAACTAAAGCGTGGTAATTTTAAACAAGCTCATCGTAACTTCGTACAAAATTAAGCCGGAAACAATACAAATACTTAATTGATTTTATTGCAGTACTTCGTATGTGTATATCTCTGTATGCGTATACGAGCAAAAATATGTCGGAAGTTTGACGATAACGGTAATCCTAACTTAATTTCGAAGCAGTAGTGTCTGCTTATTGCCCTAATACATAGTAATTAGTACAGTATTAAAAAAAACTTTAATATTAATCCATTAATACACTATAACATTATGCTACATAATTATACTAAAATATTAAAAAAAAACTTTAATCAGAATTTGTGCCGGCGAGCTATAACTTAACTTAAAAAAACTTAACTTAAAACTCAACTTAAAAAAAACTTTAATATTAATGCATTAATACACTATAACATTATGCTACATAATTATACTAAAATATTAAAAAAACACTTTAATCAGAATTTGTGCCGGCGAGCTGTAACTTAACTTAAAAAAACTTAAAAAAACTTAACTTAAAACTTAACTTAATAAAACTTTAATATTAATGCATTAATACACTATTACATTATGCTACATAATTATACTAAAATATTAAAAACAAACTTTAATCAGAATTTGTGCCGGCGAGCATTTGCATAAAGGTACAGTAGAAACTTGAAGTCAGGCATATCTGCTGATTTCTGAATAGATCTACACGCAACTGTGCAATGTACACCTGTATTCCGGAAATTTATGAGATTATTATTTACGGTGCGATATTGCAAAGAACTAATCAATAAGCAATGCGTCGGCAGACTGCGGTGCGTGGAAAACCGGTCATGATTGATGTGAGCTAAAGCTGTAGGGCTAATGCATCAGAGAAGTTAACACGATGTGGAGGTGGCCGAGTGGTTAAGGCGTTTGGCTGCTAACCAAATGGGCTCTGCCCGCATGAGTTCGAATCTCATCCTTCACGAACTTTTTGTCTTTTTTTCATTCCAGAACTTCAGGAAATATTTTTTTGTCGTATCTTCATTTACAAATACATGTGAATTCGCAAGAAAAAAATACTTTTGGGAGTTTTGTTTTGTTGGAATAATTTTCGGATTTTTGCTATTGAACCATGCGTTCGCATTAAATTTTCCGTTAAAATAAATTAGTACAGCAAATACTCGTTCACAAATCATAGCTATGAATTATTAGCGTTATTTTTTAAAAGTAAACATCAAAATTCATCCATGGAAAAAGATTAAGATTCGGAGAAAAATAATTAATTAATTCCCCATTTTGCGTTAATATTTTCTGCCGTAAACACGGTCATCACAAACAGCATTTTTATTGCGTTGTTTTTAATATTAAACTTCAGCAAAATTCGATAAATATATAGCAAAGCAAGTATATTCACCCAAAAAATATGAAAAAATTTTAAACATCGAGATAAAATAACAAACCCTAAAAAACAATTCATTAAACCGATTTTCCAAATAAATTATCAATGGAAAAAATTATGCGAACATCGTGGAAACCGGGAAAATAATCAAAATTCAGCTAACCAATTTCTAAAAACATTCTCATTATAAACGGACAGCAGAAAAAAATAAAAAGTCTGAAACATCAGTCAAAAATATAAAGTATCAATAATTTAGAATCAATTTCTATTACACCGATTTCTTAAGGAAATTCTCAATAAACTGGTTGACCCTGGGTGAGGCCTCGTGGTGCACCCAGTGGCTAACGCCCTCCATCAGCTGCAGCTCAAAATATCCGCCGACGAATTCCTTGGATACTTGGGCGCCTTCGACCGACAGGGCAATGTCGGCCGTTCCGAAAATGAGCAAAACCGGCATGCGCAGGGGATACCAGTGCGGGCGGCGTGCCGGGCAGATGCCGAACAGGTTCCGGTAGTAGTTCAGCGGGTAGGTCATGGCGTCCGGCTGACCGAAGATGTACTTCAACGCCTCCACTTCCTCGCGGTCCAACACCGGTGTCGGTTTGCCGCCGGGAGTTTTGGCCGGACTGGTATACGCTTGCTCCAGACGGGAGAGGTCGGCGACGGTCTGCATGTATTCAGGAAGGTATGGCAGTTGGAAAAGGAAGATATACCTGTACAACAATTAAAGAACTTTAAACATAATACTTTAAAATATTTCAAAATGGTTATGTAGCCTATTTATGGTAATTTTTTTGATTTAACATAACAGTTTCGTTTATTTGTTTAGTATTTTTTAAAAATATAATTTATTAAACTTAAGATTTATTTAATAAAACGTATTAATTTAAATTATATTACGACATTATGTAGCCTATTTATTTTAATTTATTTGACTGTTTTGGCTGTTTACTTTTATTATTGAATAGTTTTTCAGCGATGCCAGGATATTCGTGTGTTAAGCATTGGATCACAAATCATATTATGCATAGCTGTGCGGTAACAGTAACATTTTTATTGTTTAATCCGTTTTTATTGAGATAAAATTATTATTGATTAATTTGCTCGAAAAATCTTTTATTTATTATCTTGGGATCAGCTTGCGTTAAAGCAGAGTCAGGTACTTACTACGGAGTAGATACAACACATAGGAATACCTTCTAAATGAAAACTGAATTTGTTAGTAAAAATTATCAACGAATTTCGGAAATTATTGCTAACCAAATGTGTATTTATTGCAATGTGTAATTTACGGGCTTCGATAGGAACGGTAACGAATTTAGGATGTAAGAAAATTCTAATTGCATATGCACGGAGATTAATTTGGCGTTTATTTGAATGGTGGAAAAATTCGAAAAATAAATTAAATTGATTTAGTATTACTGAAATAGTATATGGAATCGGAAACGGAAAGTTAGGTTTTTACCAGCTCATGAGGAACTGTTTTAGCGCCGCCCGCAGCGGCATTTTAGAGAGAAATCCCGGATGCGGAACATTGAGAATAACCAGCCGCTCGATCATTTCCGGATACACCGTGGCAGTCGACCATGCAATAATACCTGCAAATAACAATAACCTGAATTTTAAAAAAATAATTCAACTATAAATCTAACAATAATCTGTAAATCTGCAATATTTGAATTTATTGAAATTTGTTTCTAATAAAAGCGACGGTAAAATGCGGACATGCAACAATATACGGTATTTAAAATTATTAAAATTAGTCTCTAATAAAAAGCCGGTAAAACAAGAATACGTTACATTGTAAAAGAAATATAGCATGTTCCGTTAGAATTAAACACAGTTATTTTTTTTTTCTAACGTACCGCCCCAATCGTGGCCGACTAGCACGCACTTCTTGTATCCCAGCGCTTCGATGACCAGCTTGGTGTCCTCCACCAAATTCGGCAGCCCGTATGCCTTGGTTTCCCGGGGTTTATCCGATTCGCCGTAACCGCGGTTATCAATAGCCACAACGCTGCAGATTACTTCCGGTCAACGTAACGGTTTACCATAGAATTGATTTTCTAATATTTACCGGTAATCTTTTTTAAAATGCTGCATTTGCCGTCGCCAGGAAAACCAGTAATCAGGGAATCCGTGAAGGAACAGCATCAGCGGTTTATCAGTAGATCCATCCGCCACGTAATGAATGCGAATGCCGTTCTAGAAGAAATTATTATGATTTACCTATTTACAATTTTCCATTTTTTTAATTTTGCTTTTTAATAAATTATGTGATTATTTTTAATATTCAATTTTTAGCAGTTAAGTTCTTATTATTGGCTAATTTTATCTATGTTTGTTAATTATTTATAATTAACAACTTAATAGCACTTTCGCAACCAAATTTAAACTGGCTGGTTTCAGCAACTAAAATCTTTCGGCGTCTATTTCATTCCTGAAGCAATTTAGCTTACTTTCAAAATATAAAAAATTTCAGTTTAATTTAAGGATAAATAAACTGCCAGTCGAAAAATTAATCACCATAATGTTATTCAGTTTGCGGTTAATATTCATTGTTGCTGAAAGCGTAGAACAAGGGCTGTGCACAAGATGCTTGCAGGAGAACGACAAATAAATTTACATATACCAGTAAAAACATACCAACTAAAGTAACGTCGGAATTAAATTTTCAAAAAACTTCTACTAATTATTTTTTGATTGATTACCTTCAGCTGGAGAAATCCGTGTTGTCCCCATTTCGGGTCGGTTAAGATCGCCGGTTTCGTGCGGCGTTTTGACGGGATATCGGGAATCTTTCCCTCATACTTGGCTTTGAGAAATTTCCCAATGGCGAAGACCGCCCAAAATACACCAATCGCGTACGCCGCCGCGGTTATAACCACATTTTTTAGCAGTTCCACCGGGTTGGACATTTTTTAAAAATTAAACCGCTTCCGGAGAATCGAAATTACAATACCGTGTAGGCATATAAAGCACCGACGGTCTTATATAAATTATGCAAACGGCCGAATCAGCACCCGGCCAAAGTGCTGAAGTGCGCATACAAAGCCTTATCAGCGCTCGTTTATATACGCGATACAGCGCACCGGCCGAAAGTCCACCATCAACGCGGTGGATCAACGGATGCACGTACGAATATCACCGCTTTCCTTACCTTGCATTAATCGATAAATATTATTAGTTGTGATTACCGGTGTTTTGTTTGTATTTTATCAGTGCAAGACTGCGCATATCGAGGTACGCGGCTATGACCAGCTAATAGTAATATTATTGCCGAGTAAGCTATATTCTCGCCGGTAACAGAATCGCAGTGCCGGCAATTATGTTGTGTCATGCGGTTTGTTATTCGATACTGCGTGTGCAAACCACAGCGCGCCGGCATGTATCGATTAAATGAGCAAAACTGGAAGAATTTCGGGTTTATTATTATTGTTATTATTTAACTGCCGTTGCGGTCAGGAATCCGCTTCTCCAATTAGCCAGTACGTTATCATCTTCCCTTTTCCCTGCAATATCAGCCAACTGAAAAAATTATTACGTGTTTAAAAAAATACGGGATCACAGTATATTTTAATAATTCAGAATTAATATGCTAATGGTGATACATATGTATTTTACGGTAGCTTATGTACAAATTCAAACTACTATTACAAGCGTATATACAAAGTCGTTGTGCCGTCGTCGTCGTGGTGTTGATGTACAATAAATAAGCCTATACAGACGTTGTACATATTGCGAGTAGATTGCTGTACAATGAGATTTATATAAAAAGAATATTAATCAAATAAACTACACTGCTTATTTAGATTTTTATAATAACGTTTAATACATTTTTAATACTTATATCTATGCAAACGGTTCTACGTAGGTACCTTGACGAATATCGGGCCGCGTTCTAACAGAAGAAATCCACCCAGGCTATCCAGGAGATCGCGTGTTGTAGCGGTAGCTTGAATTTTCATAGCTATGATATCACGAGAACGGCAATCAGTATAGCGGGCGTCGCCCTTTTCAGTTTGTTTACACAAGGCCCGATTGTATTATGGGGTTTCTCCATATTATATCATTATGTAGACCGGAAGACACTTACGCTCTCCCGTTGATTCCATGCGGGATGCTACATTCACGGTGTCACCGAATCTGTGAAAACATCAGTAACGTACATAGTACATACTTGTGCCATTTGGATCAGTGTGCATTACAAGCACAAAATTACGTACATTAATTGTTTACATTAGTCTTATAATTACGTTAACGTAGATTAATTATTTACATTAGTTTTGTTTTATATAAGTCTTATAATTACGTGCATTAATTATTTATATTTTTATTTTTTATTGTTGTTCTAAATTCCTAAGTAATTTATTCTATCAATAATCTTATATGATCGATAATTATCTGTATAATAATGATTGCATTTATCCTTATTATAATTTCAACGTACAAGCAATATCGTGGCATTTTACTTCCAACGATACCGGCAACAACCGATCCTGTATCATAAAGCAACATTTAGAAGCCTTGCACAACAAATATTTTTAAAAACATTATTAATTTGTTGTACCGGAATTAATTCCGGTGCGCAGCTGCAGACGCTCATTACTCCGTTCGGGAATCTCGAAATGGCTAATTTCCTTGAGTAACCGCAGCGCCATCACGGCAATCTCCACGACGTGTTTGGTCCCGTTGCGGATGGGTAGCCCGGATGCCACCTATATTATATATCCAATCGTCGCTCGTTAAACAGAAAGGTCACGGATGCCGGTTGTACCATGTAGTTGTCGCCGGTGGTCTCCACCTTGTACACGTCGTACTGCTCGAGGGTGCGGTCGCACAGGGTGTACAGGCCGTTGAGCAGGTCCACCACGCTGATGGGCCGCAGCTGGCTGGCGATGCGCGTGAAGCCCACCACGTCGCTGAAGAAGACCGTGGCGCTGTCGAAGGATTCCGGCGGGATGGCCAGACCTTTCGTCAGCGCGGACGCCACCGATCTACACAATATTGCTTAATGTTAATTATTTTGAGTTTTTCCGTTTTTTTTTTGGCATTACATTTTTCAGTCATTTTTATTTACGTATTTGCTTAATTAATTTTCAATTTTTACCCTCAATCTTAATTTTTAATTGTTTTTCTTTTTGCGATTTTTAATTTGGAGCCACAGGAAACCCTGCCGTTCAATTGGATACGCAATCGATGCCTATGGTTTCTATTCTTTTTAACGATGGTTGTCAGTTTATTTTTATTAATGTATCATTTTAAGTTAAGGTCGCTTTCATGCTTCCCGGAATTGTCCGGGCGCATATACGAGTACCGCGGAGTTAATCTGTTATGTGGTCGGAAGTTTGCTATGAAAAAATAATAAAGCTCTGAATCAGTGCTAGTTGTACATATTTTTTAATAACTGAACACTTTTTTTTATTTTTCTCAATTTTTAAACTTCTTGATATACAAAATTTAGTGCTTATTTCACTTATTTGCTTATTTCTTTCTATTATTCCATAGTTTTAACTTTTCTATCATTTGAAAATTAAGAAATAAGACTACAATACTCTGTATTTGCCGTGTAACATTGATGGTTCACTGAAACTCCAATATTGTCTCTTATAAGTTCGTTTTTATCCATTTATTTTATATTTTACGGACGATATGTACAGATACCGTAAATATATTTTCAGTTGTGTTTTGTACTTTTTCATATTAGTTCTGATATACTCTGTTCGTTTTTTATAGGTCCTTGCAGGATAAATGTAGATATATAGTTGTGATGTTTGACTGACTTTGGCAAGAGTTGGCTGAGCAGTTGCTCGGAGCGTGCCTTCTCCTCCAGGAAATGCCGGGTTTGTTCGACGATTTTCGCTTCCAGATCGACAGCGTACTGTTCCATCCGCTGCAGCAACAGATCCACCAGATGTTCGCCGACACGTCCCATGAATTTAGCCAGCCGGTCTTTAATCTTGGCAAAGGTCGGCCGGTCGACTGGCGACTCCTGCCATGCCGCCTCCATTAGCTCGTAAAGGTCACTGGAGCAGGCCGAGCGCGGTACACGCGGACGAACCGGGGGAATGTTGGCCGCTATAACCTGCTCAAGAAAACAAAAAATAACAAATAGAAAATACCATCCGGGATCTACCATTTTTTCCTAAAAAAACGGATAGACGCCATAAAAATATTGCTGTATATAAAATTGTTTTTCGTGGAGAAAGCAACGGTAATTTATTTCAAAAATAGAGATCTGATGCATGAAACAAGCAGTCGATTAATTACAAAAAAATGACAAAAAATATTTCTATAGTGTTCTAAGGACGTTGCAAAGGGACTACAAATTTTTGAACAAAAGTCCGATGCATGATCTAGGATAGTTATTCGATTGATTGATAGTGCAGTAAATAAATTTGAAACTGTATAAATCTGATTAATTGGCTAAGAATTCCATCCGAAAACAAATTTCACACGAAAATAGAACAAATGACGGCGCTAACCTCGAGGACAATTTCTTTATCGGATAACTCCAGCGGATCATCGGGTAGCTCGAACGGAGAACTGCGTAGAATAATCTGCTGCAGTAGAATGGCGAAGCTGTACACGTCGCCTTTCTATCGCCACCATAAAACTCCTTTTACACTGGAATTGATAGCGCGTTGAGGGTACTTCGTACCTGCGTGCCTTTTACCGGCATCGTCTGCCGCAGCAGCTCTGGCGCTCTCCACAACAAGCTACCCCACTCTCGTTTGTCGTCCGCCGGTTTCGGTGGTGAAAGGTCAGCGGGGTCGCGGAAGACAGTGAGGCCGTAATCGCCGATTTTCAGTGTAAACCGCGCGTCGATTAAGCAGGAATTGGATGTTAAAGAACCATGAGAAACCACCGGTGTCGAGTGTAAATGCGCCATTCCCTGAGAAAAATAAAAGCAGCACTTTTTGGCGGCCAAACTATCCAAATACCGGACTTGTTGCTCGACTGGTTCAATTGTACAATTGTATAATGACTGATAACCTATACCTATATTATTAAGTACCAGCTTGTCAAAAATCCGCTATTAAAAATTGTTGTGAAGAAATAATCATCATCGAATACCGAGAACTTACGTGCACGATATCGCGGATTAATGAGTTCTTAAAGAACCAATCCAGCTGGATGATCTCGTTCTCCAGAATATCCGTTAAACATCCCTTGGCGCACAGTTCGCCCACAACATAAATACACATATTCTTGACATCCAACGCGACGCCGATGATCCGTTGTAAATTGGTGTGTTTGATTGAGCGAACCTAAACCAACAATGGAAAAGCACTTCTGAAAACCGAATGTCCGAAGAACGAGTGCAGAGTAAGAGCGTCATTACCGTGTTGAGGTCGTCGATCAGTTGTTGGGTCGCCGTCTGCTGTCGTGCCGACACATCAACCAGCCCGACTTTTTCCCCGCCATATTTCCCGAAGAGTTCCACGCCGTTGGAAGACGCTCCGCTTTGGTGCCCGGTGCTTTTGCTAACCTTGACGAGAAAACGAGGCAAAAAGCGTTAAATTAGCTAAAACGCTTCATTCAGTAACTGACCATGGTGCGTTTGGATCCGCTGTCGGTGCGGGTGTTGGTCACTTGCAGGTCTTCCACCGAGATCTTCCACCAGTTGGGATCGTATTTCGTTCGCTGTTTCCTGAGAACGAGATCCGTTAACACCACTACAGCTCTCTTCGTATCGTTTTGCAGCGAAAAACTGGTAACTCTTACCAGACTTCAACGTAGTAGACGACACTTCCCGCTACGACGATCGTCACAACGAATATCACACCGACAGCCACACCCGCTAAAGCAGGCGGGGATAAGCCACGACACTTGTCGCCACGGAATCCGCACCACGGTTCGTCGGGCGGGAGGTGGCCGTCGGCGCTCGGCCAGGGCAATTCGTGGATGTACTGGAATGTTTGGTTAAGTTGCGGTTGATGGGTGAGAAATATCTAGAAAAAAAATTCGATTCGGTACATATTTTTGACAAAAATATTCAGCTGTTTACCATTATGAGAAAAGGTCATTTCTAGAATATTAATTTTAAGTTAAGTGGTCCTAATTGTGGTAAAGAACTCGTATACGTGCACTGAAACTTTCGTTATTCGTGTACTTACAAAACACGATTTTGGCTTTTTTAACGCATTGTGTAGCCAAATGAGTTATATACAGAGTACATTGGCGTAAAAACCGTTTCCGTGCGAACTTCTGGTTGCTGAGAAAAATGACGAAAAATAAAATGGTTCAAATTATTCAAATGCATTTTCCTGCACCAGAAGTCAGGTAATGATACGATAGTCTCGTAATTTTGCGGGAAATACCGTAAACAAGGAAGACGGCGCTTTAAAACTAAATGAAGCTGACCTACCAACTATATTTGTACTACAGTGTATTAGTATTTACTGGTAATCTGCGATATTAGTAAAATCTGTTGCTCTATCAGCAGTTCAGGGGAAACGTCGTATACGTGACAGAAGCTAGTAACACCTTCTGGAATTTTGAAATCACCTGGAACTGATCGGTTTCCGAATTGTAAAATTTCATACAGTAATCACGATTGCGTTGTCGATCCGGTCCAATACGGAACACGATATCGTCTTTCTGCAGCGGACGGCGGAACGAGGCATTAACGATCTGACTGTTGATCAAAACACCGTCGGTGTAATTCTGATTCCATCGCCATAGACGGTCGACGATGTCCGCGTACATGATGATGGCTTCGTAGAACGCGGTGAGGATGATATCCGCCTAGATACCATAACAGTGAAAGTAAATTCGACCAACGGTATTTTAATCGGAAAGCCGTTTGCTGGCACAACAGCGGACCTTTTCGGTGGGCGCAAAGGTAAAATTATACTTGCTCTGCGCTAGAAACTTCATATCCCGGTCGAACTGTTCTTGGTAGAACGGGACCGCGGTTTCGAAGACGCTTGCCACGAGGAGACTCTGGTATGCTTGGGTCGCCACCTGCAAATGTCAACCATATCAGGGCCGACCGGTTCTTCTTGGGTATTTCGTCGATTACGTCAGCGAGCTGGTGTCATTCTTACCGGATCCCACTGGTCTCCGGTTGTCGCACTGATGGTACCCCAGAAATCCAGAGCATATAGCTCGACGGCCAAATACATCTACTCGTAATCAGTGCCATGAATTCACGGTGGGTTATTTTGTTTTAAGTTCGAAAACGGTCGTACATGCTTGCCCTTAGTCATATTCATTGCGTGGGCGGCGACCTGCAAAATACCGTAAATATTTGAAGTAGTTGCTGGTCCTTTGATGGTTTTCGACTTTTCGTATTAGAAACCTTGCACAAGAAACATTCGCCATACAAATTTCTGCGCATTCGTTCGCACAAAAACGAAACCGAACGCCGAAACCTGTCCGTTTCTTAGACAAAAGTGTACAGCAAAAGCGTTTCTCATGCGAAAAACATCAAAGTATTCAAAACTGAAAATTTTTTTTATATAGGTACGTACTAACAGCTTTCGAACGCAATCAGCATGGCCAAAGATGATCATAACTGCAACGAACACACAGCTTCGCTATTTTTTCCGTTTACCGATTGAGCGTTTGCTATGTAGTAGTAATCCTACCGCGGGATCGGTTATTGGCCGACCAGAGCAGATCCCGCAGCTGGCTCCCGGTCGCTGTCTTACTGCTGACTGCCAGGGTATACACATTCCGATACAAAACCGGATTACGGGTGCGGATAAATTTCAGGAAGACCTCGGTCATGGTGACAAAGTACGGATACGAGTCGTCACGGAAGATGCTGGCGTGCTGGTAGCCCTGCTGCTCGAGGAACCCGGCTAGGAATGCCGTCAGGTCGCTGAGGCCGTAGGCCGCCAGCACCAGGAGCCCGAAGTCGTCGATGACGGCGTCCATCTGGACGGACCAGAAACCCGCCGCCGGGATTCCGAGTAGCGGGACGTTCAGGTAGTCAGCGAAACCGTAGAGTACCGCCACGGAGAACGGACAACCTGAAAACAGGTTAAACAGTATTGCACACATAAAATGGGACTAGGAAAAAGCGAAAATCGGCCAGTCGGTCCGCATTTGAAAATTTTATGGATTCACCGATGCTGTCTCGACTAGCACTGCATCGACCATCCCAAGATCGACCATACAACGTCGACCGTCACGATTCACGAGGCGGACGGCTATGGAAAACCGCGAAACTTAAGGAAACTTACTCGGGTAAGAAATATAAGAAAACTGAGGAACCTAAGGAAACTTATTTCACCATGAAAACGTAACAAGACTAAGGAATCTAAGAAACTTAATAACACTCAGAAAATCTAGGCACGTATAGATAAGACGACTAAGCAAACTGAGAGAATCTAAGAAAACCTACGAATTCCTGTTATCTACTCTGTCAGTCAGCCCAACATTGTGCAGAGAATTACATGCAATTTCGGACAAAATTCTTTTTCGGTCACACCGCTCAACGAATAGATCAGTGATCGTGCAAGTTGCAACAGAAACCGTTTTTTCTGCTTTTTATTCAGAAAACCTTATTTGCGCTACAAACAGGTATATGCGTATGGTTTTATATGAAAACAGATGGTTGCGCTTTAAGCAATAATAGTGTATACGGCTGAAACTGAAAATGTAAGTATTTTCTTAGACTGCATGTTTTTTTTTACCGGCGCCGATAAACACGTGACATGTCGTCCTCTCCGTCAGCAATTTAAATATCCGCTCTATCAGAACAAACTGCCGGCGATTGCAGGATTTCCCGGAACTCTGGTATACAAAATCCATGGATAAAGATTTATCCAGAATTAAATGGTTGGCGTGCTGCACAGCCAAATCCACCGTGGCCATTAAACGCTGCGATGATGAATAGTAGGAATCATCCTCCCAGACGAAGCACACCGTTAATTTCGACGGTAATTTTGTATTATTGGCTGCCGGCTGTCTCATGCCCTCTGTCCCAAGAATTATGAAACAAATACATAAAAACGTAAGCGAGAAGGAATTTCGCCGGAAATAGAAGAGCATCTTCGCAGCAACGCCACCACAATCTACGGAAAATCGGGATTAAAGGCCAATGCATAATCGCAGCTAGGGAACGCCGTTCATTCAGCAATTAGTGGAATACGCGATGATTGCTTTATTAAGCAACGCATTTCTGGAGAAATCAATACTAACGCGTGCCAATCCACGGAAATTCCTTTTGACGCTGCTGCAGACTGGAAATGCCGGTGTTGTTAGTTTCTATTGGTTGGAACGCTTAAGATTTTTCCGCTAATTACAGAGCAATGTATACGCGCATCATTGTCATCGAAATGGCACCGTTAACCTGTAACAGGTCACCGATTAAGCGCGACATTAGTCGTGCGGTGTTTTCTGTATCGCTTACACTTTTCATCACGTGATACGCAGCTTGCTTTTAGTACAATGCGTCTCAAAGTGGCGTTTCATTTATAAAATGTTACTGTTACCATGGGTTACCATGTGTTACAGCGCGTTACCATGAGTAACCGAGCGTTACCATGTGTTAACCGTGCGTTATCAGATGTTACTGGACGTAACCATGAGCTACCGTTTAAAAACCGTGGTGGATTAACGCGGTGCCTAATTGTGATTACTTAATGGTTGAACCCCGTTGAAGATGTACTTGAAATCCCATTTTCTATCAGGAATTCCTCTGATTCATCTTCATGTGCTCATATCCCGGTTCGATTCTGGGAGCCGGCATTTGTTGCGGGCTAACGCCGGCCGTCAGCGTTCATTGTGCGCCGGCACAATACCAGTCAAACATCTGGCGCAGCGCCTATTCAGACGCCGGCAATTGTTGCCGGTCAGTGTACACAGAGAAAATTATTGTGAATGGCAGCGTCGCGTTTGTGTCGCCACACTAACGATGTTTGCACAAAACGCTTATTTACTCGGGTACTGCCCTGTTTGCCGCTGATAAGCTACTGGAAAAAAAACTAGTAAAAAACGCCAATCCGCCGGTCTTAGTATCTAAGCGTACAATAATATTTCCCAGTTATATTTCATCCTGGCAAAATTCCCAGTACAGTACGCGCGTTTTACCCTTTAAAGAAAAAAATTCATTTGTTGACGGGTGATGGCTTTTCAACGAATTAGCCAGCTCATTCGCTGCGATCGATAGCTTTTTCCTTAACCGGAATTTAATTTATATGTAAACTATTTATTAAAGAATTAAAATATGGGAAAATTATCCCAACACCGCAACATTTCCGGTGCGCTGTTCCAGGCTGGCATTGTGACACAGTGTAAATTGATCTTTCCGGAGGAGTGCGCGTCATCCCGGGAACATTATATCGCAGCGGGTGCATCTTCTTTATGCCAGACATTGGCCCCGGCCGCGTATATACTGGTAATTGCGCGCGTTTCACTGTAATTCATCGCCTGTGGTAAACCAATCCCCATATTTTCCCGCTGTATGCTGGCCATATTTCGGGAAATTATATGGGGGAAATATGAAATCGTATAAGTATCGTGTAAGGGAAAGGCGCGTGTCTTCGCCGATCACATTTCCCGCTTCTTAGCAGGCTGCGCCAATTTGATGGAAATCGATTTTTTCTGCGGGTTGTTGTGAATATGTTAATAAGGGGATAAAACTGGCCGAGAAACGCCGTTCTGGATAATAATTATAAATTAGTGTTCATGATTTTCTGGTTTACAATTTCTCCAACAAAGTTATCCTTTCGAATTATTTTTTCAGAAAAAAAGTTCTCCTAACATAAACTAATAATTATACAAACAATTTTATTTAAATTTTTTCTTATTATTTTTTCAATTTCAAAAATTATGTTTAAACTTTTAGTAAATACTAACTAATTTTTACATATACAGTAACATTTATTATAGTATTATTCAGTGGTTTAGTTTGCAGATACTGTATTTATATTGTATATAATAAATGAGAAATGCTGCATTTTTATTTATTCATTTACATATTCCGTATTTGGAACAACTTCCGCGACTGTGCGTTTCTTAGATTTCTCAGGTTTCTTAGTAAATGAATTAGCCACAAGTCATGACCTACAAAGAAACAAATGACAACCCGGAAATCCACCGTAGTCTCTTAGAGACATCGCGTGAATATCTGGCATTCTGTGGGCAGTTAATTAAAATGTATGATTATTGCATGTTGAACGGCGTATAAATGTAATCGGATGGGTGCGTTGAGCGGATGGGAAGCCCGGCATCTGTGCCTGGAGGATTATAAAAAGAACCACACGCGCAACCGCAACCCGGCACCGCACCATCCCAGCCAATAAACCGCATACCGATACACTGTCTTCAGGGGCAATCGGCACACGCACACTCGTACAGGCGCCCTGATACGTCACACACGTACTGCACGGTGGAGTGTCGACAGATGGAAGCCAGAGACAGCGCTGATACTAAGCATGCATAAAAGAGCGGGATTAGCGTACATCCGATGTGACAGTTGCCGGCCAAACCACACTCGCAGCATCACGAGATCCTTTGAATCTTCAAAGTTGTTTATAAACTTTGTTAACTAACCGTATTTTCTTACATGTAACGGTTTTCGCAAGCGCTTGAATTTTAAAAATAAAAATTATTGCCAGTCGGTAAAACCGGAAATTTTATAAATAGAAAATATTTATTTGACCCTTGTTTTACCCGGCAGAAGTGGTACGGAAGTCTCGGGATTCCGACTGTCTAATTAAAACATAGCATTGCGATGACTGGTAATCATTAATTGGTTGCCTAATTATGCCGGTTGTTATGCTGAAGGAAAATATTGATCAAATGAATGACTGAACCACAAAAATTATCAGCCATGCTCCTTCTCAACACCTCCGAACCCTCCACCTACGAAGAGTCCATCCGCGAGCTGGGCTTCAACGTGTACAGCTGGGCCATCCAGGTCGTGGTGCTCTTTGTCCTCTTCATTTTCGGCTTCATCGGCAACATCACCGTCTTCATCCTCCTCCTGCGCCGCAAACTGGCCATCAGCTCCACCATCCGCCATCTGATCCTCAACCTGGTGATGGCCGATCTGTTCGTGGTGAACTTTTGCATCTTGACCCTGGCCATCTGGCACTACACTGTGGAATGGCTGGCCGGAGATTTCGTGTGCCGGTTGTCCAAGTTTATGCAGATGTTCTCCCTGTACGCCAGTACCTTCATCATCGTGGTGATCAGTATTGACCGGTGTATGGCGGTGGTGGCGCCCATCAGCCGGCTGAAGGTGGATAAATACGGCCGGCGCAATAGCCATAAGATGGTGGTGGGGGCGTGGATGTTAGCGGGACTGTTCAGTGTGCCACAGGTAATTATAGAGATGGGTGTCTCCGCACCTGTAATCGCCTACGTTGCGCAGAAAAAGGGTTGCATCCACCTGTCGCATTACCGAATTACCCCTAAAGCTGTGAAAATTAAGATCTAAGCAATAAGTATTTTCCACCCATCTTATGTAACGGACATTGGACTGTCTAATTAAAACAAAGCACTGCGATGGCTGACGGTAGGGGTTTTTCTGGTCAATCATATTTACTTAACTTAGCTGACTATTGAATATTCTTTTACTGTAGTAGAAAGCCTCAGGCCGCTTTTCGGAAAAGGCGCTTAGATAAATTTACAAAGTGAATAATAAGCCTAATATTAATTAAATTTTTTATTTGAATAATTACTTTTTCTAAGAAACCGTGAAATTTATTTATCCGTCAATAAGTTTTTCACCGACCATATTATCTAACGTAGACCTAACAGAATTTCAGCTGTTTACAAAGTAGTTAAAACAAAGCATTGCAGTGGCTAGTTAGCGTGATTTTGTTGCCATTTGCATTCCTTGCTTTAGCAAATCTTTTAGATATTAATGTTTTTTAAGCGACAAGGTCGCAATAGTATAAAAAGTGAAAACATAATTTCCATTAATTCAAGAATTTTCAATGCATTGCTGATTACTGGAATGCATTTTTTACTTTATAAATAACTTTACGGTATTGTTAAAGCGAATCGATTTTTATTTTAGCAATTTTGGGCAGTTGTTGTAGAGACATACTTTCCCTTCTGGTTTTTTTTATAAAAATCAATTGAAACAGACGGCTTTGTTTATCTTTGTTCGAATTAGCCGTTGGTTTGCTTGTACATAGGAAGCAACTTAAATACCGTAAAAAACCGGAAGTACTCGATTACTAATAATCAATAATAATCGATACATATGAATATAGCAACTGGATGGGCGCTTGTGGAGTGGGGATCACTTTCACAAAATGAAAAATGAATTTTTGCGTTCTCAATAAAGGAATCCATCGCCGCATGAAACATAAATCAATTTCTAACTACGGCTCGATAATCCGTTTCCGCAACCAAGGAATCCATCAGGATTTTGCAGTGTGTTTAGTTTTTGCTTGCAACGCCGTCGGCCGCCGTTTCCTCGAACATATTTAAGACGAATTAAAGCCCCGGCTTTCCGGCCGTAATCGCTCTTTTAATTAGCCAGGGTTGGGTAATTCGTGCAGCTTACAGCGTTTTCCAAAGGAAGAAAAAAAGCAGGCCACCCATGCCTCCGTGCACAATACCCGTCTTCTGATTAATTTACTGCTTGATGTGACTTAATTAAAACACCCGCACCGGGAGATAGAGCGCGGTCATGGTAATCCCGGGGATTTCGGTGTGGGTCTATTAATAGAGTGAATAGGCCGGCGTAATGCTAGAAAAACTCAATTACCCCAATCGCGACGCGGAGATATGGTGTGTGTATATACAGTACATACAGATACATGCGCCGCGGCGCGCTGGGCATCCCAGCTGATTTCCATCCCGTAAGAGCCGCGTCATAGGTCATTAGGTGCGCATTCACTGACGCCAGTGCAGCGGCTAATTGCACCAGGCCCCGCGCGTCTCCATTACCCAGACAAACAGAATTAATCGCCGCTACTCATTTTCGATTATTCATAAAGATTCTGCTGCGCATGCGCAATACAACTGACCCAGTTATAGGATGGCGGAATAAGTTTCCCACGGTTGATAACCTTGGGAATTGAGTTTAAGCTAAGCGATATCTTTCGAGTATATTGATATTCAATAAAAGTTAAATCTTTATTAAGAAAAACGTGATTTTGAATCCTGGGAAATTGTTTGAAAAATAGAAGTTCAATGTATTTCGCAATATAAACGGTTAGATAAACATTAAAATTGTTTTAAAGGGTTTTTTTGCGTAAAAATGCGATCAGAAATATTTAGGATTTCTGTCAGTTATCTTGCATGGAGCACGAACGCGCTCTTGGTAAAATTCTCTTGACAAGACGTTTCTGATGCTAAAAACATGTTGGTATCAAAATGAAACATGATGGGCGGAGGAAGTTCCCATGCTTTTATATCCTGGGAATTTTGGGCCAGGTGTCAGGACGAGATTTTCTGTAATATTACAACATTTCTAAAAAAACGTTTGCTGATTCTCACGCATTTGTAATCGTGGGAATTGTGGAAAATTGTCGAAAAAAACATTTGTGTATTGTGGAAAAAATTAGCTTGTAAGAACTTTTTGAAGATGTAAACAGATATCTTACAACTTTTCAAACCGGGGCCAGGAAATCTTGGCACCGCGGTTACAAACGACGGGAATGTTAAGAATTCATCGGGTATTTATGTGCAACATGTGGGGCAGCGTGTGCTAAAGTGTCGGTTTTATGCCATGTGCGCTGGTTAAATTCCCCAGCGTGCGATCGGCCAATGCGCTCGGCTACACGGATGTCACAGTTCAGGGTCAGCACTTGATGCCCGCACCGATTAATCAGGGCTCCCAGTTGCGTGCGGGAGCGGACACACGGGGAAGCCTGTAAAATGTCGTTTTTACGAGCCGGCTTCCATCTGTAATGCCGCGCGTGTGTAACGGGGGCGCTGCTCAACAACACATCAACTTCGCCGAACAAGTGATGCCATCTGTTCTTATTAATTACCGCGGCATTGCGCACAGTTTTCGCGACATGCTCCATTAAGCACAGCGCACAGGATTTAATCGCGGCGTAAAGCCGCGCGAGCGGAGAAATAAACACCCGGGAAAATCTTGGCGGGATATGAAAATTTTCTTGTACCGTACTTCCTGTGATGTAATCGTTTTCCCAACCCGAAAAAACTCCAGGATTAAAAAAAGTTTTTTACTTAATATATATTAAACGGAAATCAGTGTTCTTATACATTTTGTAATATACCTATTATCGCTTCAAGAGAAGCTTATAAGATCCCAGAAAATTTGTGGTTTAAATGACGAACAAACCGGCTCATTTAGAGGAAGTAAAAGTCATAACAGGAGAGCGAAACGAACGCGCATCAATCGCCAATACTGGGTTCGATATAAGCGTCCAAATTAGCAATATGCGTTAAAAGCTGCGCACCTATTTTTTGCCTTATACTATACAATCACTTTCAAGTGTTGAGTTCCGGTTACGCAATGGGCTTTCCTAAAAATATTATTTTCCTTTTTTTATTAAAACATTTATTGGTGTGGCAGATTGCCGGGAAATCGATGGGGATTATAAAAAGCATGACAGACACGTATTAAACGTATAACAGAAATTGTCCCATTCGTGCTGAATACGCTTTCATATCGAGACAATCCCTTCGCATCTCGGGGCGCTGCTGGCCGCGTGAAGAGGAGATCCATTACATGGCGAGTGACTGTCAAGCGTCCTTCACGCGACACTCACACACACTCCCAGCGAAATCCTCCTCAGCTGCATCGCAAATCCCTTTAATTAATTTCCGTCTAGGCACTGCTAACATTACCGGTCAGCAAAATGTCAGCCCCATACAAAACACATCATCTTAATTCCCTGTAACGTGTCAACAAGACCGTTAAGGAACGTGTACTGCCCATGTAGGTCACCATAATGTTACGATGATTTCCTGCTTGTAGGCCATTATCTTCAAAGTCCAGCAGGCTCCGACGGAAATTGTCTTCTACCAGTGTGTGACATTCGGCTCGTACACGGAAACCTGGCAGGAGCCGCTGTATACGTCCTTCACGCTGTGTGTCAACTTCCTCTTCCCCTTTGTCATTATCATTACGTGCTACACGCTGATCCTGCATCGGCTGTCCACCAGCCAGCGCAGCCAGACCGGAAACGGGGGGCTGCAGGCGGATCATCAGCATTCCCATCAGCAGTTGTTCTCGCAGCTGTCCGCGCCCGATGATCACCGGAAACAATCAGGTACCGATACACAACAAACGGTGAATAATATGGCTGTAGCCGACTTCCGCTGGCCGGAAGTCGTTGACGCGGTTCAGCCAGATGGGTTGGTGGGTCTATGGCACGTTTATACGCGTTTAATAAGGGTTTTTGGCGTCATTCTTGGATAAGAAGGATTATACCGTGCTTTTTTTGTTTGACAGCACATGTTGTAAAAAGCAGTCCTAGGAGCTTCTTGACTCTGGTTTAGCTTGCTCATTTCATCTACGGTAATACATATTTTACGATACATAAAAACAGAAATGCAAACCAGACATTCAGTTTTTCTATTTACCGGGAGTTTGTCATTCTATTGAACATTTCGTCCACTAGCTGTAATATTTTACGAATCGATCGAATCACTGAGTTATATACAGTATGGAATTCGGTAGCATTTGATACCCACATTTATGCGTGCTTCGCAGTCGCAACGCGTTCGCTACATGATCATGATTGTGCACCAAAGCGTACTGTGCACTCCGTTGTGGAATCAACTTTCTCGACGGACTTCTACTATTTATTATTTATCAATGTAGTTTTGAAAAACGGATTTCCGTGCGGAACAAAAACTGTGAAGAAATTTATTTATCTGGTGTTTTTCTCTATTGCAAACTTTAGCAGCTGAAGTGCTTCAAATGCGAAATCGTATAAATATACAGCGTTTTTTTAAGTTACTACAGTATACCGGAATTATTTAAATAAATAAACAGTTTCTGAAGAAAATTTTTAATCTGGATTTAAATCAGTAGTATTATGACGCTTATTGTACGTATACACTGTACAGTAATAAATTTACAGTACATGTTAATTACTTCCGGAAGAAAAGCGCGTAAACAGTCCCATAAACCCGATTACTTGCAAATGGTTAGTAGCGCGTTAGTGTTAAGCAACCCGAACACTGATTTCCGTTTTACAGTGCCCTGCTACAGTTACGTGATGGAGAAGAGCCCCTTCCCATCAGCTCACCATCACCAGTGGAACTACAATATCTCGCAGCGCTCCGCTAAACTGCGCAAAGCCCGCGCCACCTCCCTGTGTTTATCCGTGCTAATCGTATTGACCTTTGTCATTTGTTGGGGTATGTTGATTCAGTCATGACCGGCAGCGATAACGCTCTACTAAACGAGTGTTATAATACATTGCAGGGCCGTATTACGTGCGGATGGTCGGCTCGTTCATCTGGGAGGCGGCCACCGATGAGAATGTGGATAATGTCGTCTTTTTCTTTGGTAAGCCCATCTCCGTAGAATACCGATCCGTGTGACCGGCTTAGAGTTGTATAGAAATGCAAAGTGGGTTACGAAAGACAACATGCCGAGTTTGTCTTGGATCCCGCTGCTGCTGATCGTGTGTGTACCCGGCTTTTCAAAACCCCGGTGCATAAAGCGTAGAATAACAAGCGTACCGATATAAAAGCGTTGACATCGGGAGAGAAGAATCTGGTCAGGGCGCGTTTGTCCTACTTATCCGTGTTAAATGGTCAATTATTTAAAAGCTAATATACTGCATGCTGCATAGTGTATGCAGTATACTCGTAACGGATTTACACAATTTGCAGCAGCTGCTTGAACCTTGACCTCACTTTACAAAACTGTCTAATAAATCACCAAGAATTAAAGAAATATTAATTAGCAACTCCTTGAAATGAACAAAAAGTTTAATGGCGTTGTTGAGCAATAAAAGTCAGGTTACCTACTTAGCCGAAAATCTCGAAACGTCGTTGTGAATGACGCATAACTGGGAAGGAATCAAATAAAAATCAACCTTCTATAAAAAAATTGAACTAATTTTTAACTTACCAGAAATTTTAAAATGATTTTTAAATATCGGAAGATGACTGATGAAAAAAAGCGTAAAAAGCGTATAAATAATTCTTTATACGATATTGTACACTTTGCTGGTTGAGCGTATAATAGCACCCATCGAGAAAATATTGTATACTTATGACCAAAAGCGTTCCATACGCTTTTATGAAGTTCTATGCGCAGCGTTCTTTATGCTTGTAAACGGCTATACGCTTTTTTACGCTGTTGTAAATATAAAACGTTCAGCAAAGTTTCGATCCCTAAACTCGAGTTTCTTAGTATAAAATCCTCATGCCTCTTCCTTCTTTTTGCAGGGATGAGCAATTCGGTGATCAACCCCCTAATCTACGGTGCGTTCCATGTAATGGGGCGGCGCGGATGGCGTGCCGGCAGCGGGCGTAGATCGGTGCTGCTGTCCAAGCATAGATCGCACAGCACCACTACGCCGCTGCGGTGGGCGGCGCGCGCCCCACCCGCCGCCCGCTTCTCACTACTGCAGCGTCTGCATTGTCCTGACGCCGGTCTTTCTCTGCACTACAGCCACGCCGCGGCTCTTCCGGCTGTGCAGCAGCAGCGGCCCCTCCGCGCCCACCCTCGTCACGCCGCCGCCGCCGCGGCCCCGCCGGCTCCTTTCCCTCTGATACAGCTGCGCCGCAATCCCCTCCCGGAACTGCGCCCCATCTACAAGGAGGCGCTGCGCCCCCTGGAGACCGGCTGCTGCTTGACCAAGGAGAAATCCTCCAGTCCGCCGGCCAACTGAAAGGTCACCAAAAGTCCTAATGCCGGCATCCAGAAACCGGCCCTGGAAAACGGAGCAAAGCTCCCGGAAAATATATTCGATGACATTGACGGCTGTCAAGTATTTCCAACAATTCCCTTTCGGCGCGGGAAAGACCACCAACCGGAAATCCAGAAATTTTCATCGCCACCGGCATTTGAAAATTAACCAAATACTCCATAAAATGGACTTATCTGTAAACTGCGCAAAAGCCATACCCGATGCCGGCTTCGAGAATAACAATCCCGCTTTCTCTCGCAGCTAACCGGAAGTCCAGACTTCAAGATTTTTATCTGCCGGCATCCAGAAATTTCAAAAACTGAGCGAAAGTTTTAGTGAACATATATATCCGTTGCCGGCTTCAAAAATAATAACGGCGCTCCGTTTGGATGACGGGATGCCAGCCCACCGGAAGTCCCGAACCCTGGATTTATCTCAACTGGCGAAACTGACCACCAAAGCAAAAACGGAGAGAAAATCGTTCTACATATTTCCGATGCCGGTTTCGAGAATTATTCACCGAATTCCTTTACAACAACTTTAGAAAAACCCACCGGAAGTCCCAAATCTCGAAATCTGGCCAGCTTGCGACTGGCATGCACAATCAATAAAAGACCAGAAAAATCAGGCAACAACTGCAGTGAAAATACCCGGTGCCGGATGCGAGAACATTAACCGAATCCTTTTCCCCGCAATTCCAAATGTCTTCCTCAACGCCATACCATTTTTTGGGGGAAAATAATATCACTATCTGATAATTTGTTTCCATTGAAACGCTACTTTCCTGTTATTTTTATACATTTTATACAGGCTGTATTTTCCGTTTAAAATATAAGTATTAATTTTTCTGGCTGCCGTATGTATCCGCTTCATAATGTAAAAAGTAAAAACTGTTCGCCGTTGGCAGAAAGAAGAGCGGCTATTTTTTGCTCCATAAATCGGTTTTTAATGGTTGTCCCGCGCAATGTGCATGCGCGCGTGTGACAGACGGGATTGTGACAGCGGTGACATGTTTAATGTGCACCGGGTGATTTGTAGAATTTTGATTACGCGAAGAAAATCATCAACATGACCACTTGCTGATCGATTAACGATTGCGTGCTACGTACATCACACGCCAATTATTGCTGTATAAATAACTGAAGGAATATTCTTAAAATAAATTTTCCTGATTTAGAATCAACTGAGAAAAATCCAGGAGAACATTTCGTTCCACGTGCTTTAGAAATGCGATTTCAGGAGCTGCCCATAAACGTTTCCTTTTCAATTTTCGCGATCAGATATTTTATAAGATTAAAATAGTCGCTTCCAAATAATTTAAAAGACTTCTTTAGTAATTTTTGGAAGGATAATTCTTTAGTAATTTTTTCTTTTTTCGCTGTTTTGAATTTATTTAGTACGAGTACTAAATAGTGATTTACAAGCCCGAAAATTAGAATAATTATTTTAAATAATTTATTAGGAAATTCGGAGAAAATTAAAGCAGGTAACCTAAAATCTGAGCGTCCAATAAATTAATTTATCGCTTTTTAATTTTAAATTATTTTCTCGAAACTACGGTATTTTCAGTTGATTTAATTATAAGCGATATACGAGCCCGAAATTTAGAAGATATATTCGAATTTATTTATCACGAATTTCTGAGAAAATTAACGTTGGACACTTTAAACCTGTGTTAAATTAATTTCTAACGGGTCGGATTTTTATTTGAGTACATTTTCCGATGACAATTTCTTGCCGCATAATTAATCACAAAAATATCACTGGAAATGATTAAATTATTGCCAATATAAAAAATAATATCAACACTGTATCACAGAATGGAGGAGAAGAGAGAGACACTAATCAGAACCAACAACCCAGAACAAAATACAAAGACAAGAACGCCACACGCACGGGAAATCCTTCATGGAAATTAAGTAAAAACGCGACAAACCGAATCCTGCATTTTTTTCCGTTGGTTGACATGTTATTCGTCGTTTTTGCTGAGGGGGGACTTTTTCCGGGTTTCACTCCGGCTGTCGGTGCCCAGTCGCCAGCATTTATACCATAGGAACACCGTGGGAACGACCCCTGAAACAAATAATTAATTTTTTTTAATTTAGAAACCATCAAATTGATTTTAACAATGTATATTCATTTTTATTTAATAATTTTATAATTTCACGGTTAAGAAAGAAACCAATAAATATAACGTACAATTTCCGATCAGTTTTCTGCGAAGCTAAGAATTTTTCCTTGAATAATTCAGAAGCTGACTCAACCGTAAATATACCGGGTTAAGAAAACTCATTATCGAAAACAGGATTACGTGAACAGTTTCAGTTTCGGTTATATGCAGTTTTGGCGTCATTGCACTTTCTGATATCATATTCCGACAAATATACATGAATATCAATAACCCGTTTCAAGACAAACATTATAAAAATAAAAAAATAAAATCAACCAATTATAAAAATCGACCTGAAAATAGTTATGGATGAAACCAGTACTTAAATGTACTCACGAAAGTGTACTAAAGAATATTTTCAAGCGTAAAAAATCCTCACGTTCTTCTGTAAGTTAACTAAACTGTAATTTATTGCATCATTTTAAAAACTAAAAAAACTTATGACAATACAGCCGGATAAAATCAGTATGGATTAAACAAGTAAAACTATCATAATCACAAGAAACCAAAGAAATGTATACGAGAAAATTCAATGGATATCAAATTTCCTAAAGTATTTTTAAAAATTTAGAAGAAAGCTCAACAAAAGCTAAGGAAAAATGTGGCTAGAATTAGCCCCACATTTAACTAGTTAATTCTTAGATTATTAACCAACATTTAAAAAAAAAGATAAAAAAATTTGTTACAAAAATCATTCAAATGCAAAATCAGAATCATAGTAAAAGATCATATTAAATACAAAACATATAAATAAAAAAAACCATAAAAAAGAGTTTGAATAGCGTGATTCAGTGTAGCCTGGGATCAGCAAAGGTGCCGACAATCTTGGAGCCTCCCGGACTGTGCAGACGGGACGGGAAGCGGCCAGACGGCTTATCACTCTTCCCATGGAGAAATGGCCTCCCTGTGATATGAGATGTGACAGTTTGTGACACATTCGCTACTTCGTACATAGCTGGCTGTTCAGAAGCAGCGGGATCGGCTGCTGAAGACGCGGAAGTGCGGAAGCGAAACCTCTACTCCGAACTCACTGATCGGCATTTTTTCCAGCCAGTGGCACTCGAAACTATGGGAAGTTCCCACTGGCGAAAGTACCCACCAGTTCATCAATGAAGTCGGCCGGCGTATCAAAGAACAAACGGGAGAAGCGCGCGCTGTTCAACATTTGTGGCAACGTACAGATATAAGGAAATTCAGCGCGGAAACGCGGCTTCTGTCCTGGGGACGGTCGGGTGTTCTCGAGAGTTAGATGAGTTATTTTACTTGTTCTAATTATTGGGTTTTTAAAGTTTGAATGTAAATGGCATTGGCTTGTACAAGTTGATAATAAATTACTGCAGACCTTTCAAAAAACCATAATGGATAAGAATTACGATAAATAAGACAATGATAGTTCAAATCTTACCGCTCCACAGCAGCAAGCCGTTGGTGGGCACGGAGATGGCCCCGTAGGAATCGCCGATGATCTTCAGATTGAGCAGCTCCAGCAGCAGAATCCCGGCGAACCAGGCGTGGTAGAAGCCGTGCGTCCAGCGCCAGCGGCCGCCCTGCCGCAGACGGGCGCGGGCGTAGAGGATGCTGCAGCAGGTCAGCGGGAGGATGTGCAGCAGCAGATGCGTCACGGCGAACATGTACGTCATCTGGCCCTGCAGCCACTGCCGGCGCATCCAGATCCCGAAGCTGAACGCCACCCCGTACTCCCCCTCCACGATCTCCCCGAAAAACCACGGCACTATCACAAATGGCCAATTAATCGTCGAATTATTATTGAATTATTGTTGAATCAAACTTAATAATTACGAGTTAATAATAATAATGGCAATACTAAACAACAGCGATACAAAATAAGATCATACGAATGATAAATAAAAATAATAGTGAATAGTAAAACATAGTAATAAATAATAATGACGATTATAATATTTGTAAATTAATAGCACATACATAAAAGTACATAGCAAATTAATAATTGTAATGTTAATCTGAATAATCGCTCGTATAATTATGCTATGATTTTTTCTTCTTCACTAGCCAATAACAATCATTCTAACTAGTATTATTGTTTACAAGAAAAACCGCTACATAAGAAAAAAATAAAAAAAATCAATAAAGCGTACAGCAGCAGTGATCTACAGTACTGAGTGCTTTTGCATTACTTGACCAGAGAGTAAATCAGATTACAAGCCAGTACACTACAATTCTCGGTATCTTAACCAGTCCTCAAACTTGAGACTACCACGGTACTTAATAACTAACCAGGGCCCCGTCACCGGCTATAAATTCAGAAAAATTTGATCTTTTCCAGAAAGACAAAGGAACATTGGAATGAGCAAAAAAATATTTTTAGCTGCTGTGATGAATGGGCGTGGCCAAAACAAAAATTGAAACTAAATTCTACACTGTGCTGTAGTCTATGGGCAGTGTACCGCATCATACGATGTCGTTTTAACGTTGCTGAACAACCTGTGCGAGGCCAGTTTAACTTTAAATGATTTTCTCAAAATTGTTATGTATTTCTTAAAAACTTAACATACTGTACATAAATTTCAAAAATCCAGCCGCTTGTGAAAATTTGTTTGCATACGCATATTCTGCCGAGGTACGTAGATCGGTGCGCGTGTGTACTGTAACTTCGATCTCGTAATGGTTGAAAAATTTGCTAACACAGATCACATCCATTTCTACTGAAAAACGTATCTGTATCATCTCCAGAAACGAGCAGCACAGAGAAAAACGTTGAACGAGTATTTAAAGTTAAACTGACCTCGTACAGATTGTGCGGTGTTAGCGGTATATTATTGTATTCAGCATAACACAGTGTAGAACTTAGCTTTTTAAATTTTTTTCTGGCCACGCCCATTCATCACAGCAGCTGAAAGTATTTTTTTTCTGCTTATTCCAGTGTTCCTCTATCTTTCTGCCAAAGATCAAATTTTTCTGAATTTATAGCCGGTGACGGGGCCCTGGTAAGTATTTTAAGCCCAAAGAAAGGCACCGAATTCGGCTGATTTCCACAGATTTTGACAAGTTTTACTGCGGAATTCGTAATGCGAAATGTATCTGAGCGTACACAATAACACCAGGATAAATAAAAATGTCAGTAATTATAAAAAACAATAATAACTAAAAAACCTATTACATAAACCAAATCAAAGCAATTTTAAAAACTAACACTTGATAAATAAAAACACCCAATTACCGTTAATGAGTAACGAAACAGCACAGCTGCAAAACTACTTCTCGTAAATAACCCAAATAAATACAATTTTCGACATTAACGCTAGAATAAATAAAATCACCCGAGTCGTCAATAATTATTAACGGGAAAAGGCACCAGAAAAAACAAACGGAATAAATAATGAAAGGTCACTTCTATGCGCCAGGAAATTTCCTGGCGCATAGTCAATTTGCTGTGCGCCAGGAAAATTCGTGGCGCATAGTCGTTTTGCTATGCGCCCGGAAATTCGCCGCCAAAATTAAAATTTATCGCTTTAAATTATTAATAACAGAATACTGTCACTTGGTGAAAGTGCTTTTTATACAGCCAGCATAACAACACGTGAGATTCATTACAAAAAGCACAAACTACGCTTTCCAAGAACTCAGTATTTAGGAAAAACTAAGAACTGGAGCACCAGCAATACTTGTGATGGGCATTAGATGGGCATTAGACCTAAGGAAGCATTTGCGACTGCTCGAGCAGAAGGCCCGCGCTCAAGCTCGGACTTGGACTTCTAAAACTTGGACTTGGACTTCACTTGGACTCTAAAAACTTGGACTTTATGACTTAGACTTGGAATTAGGCGTTTCTTATGTCTCTTATGTCTTCTTATGTTTCTTCATGTTTTCTTAGGTTTCTTTGGTGTTCTTAGGTTTTTAGGTCCCTTAGGTTTCTTAGGTTCCTTAGGCTTCTTAGGTTTCTTAGGTTTCTTGGAATACCAAAGAATACCTAGATAACTATGAAATGTTAGTAACCTCAGAAACCTAAGAACATCCAACAAACCTCAGAAACCCGAGAAACCTGAGAAAACATGAAGAAACGTAAGAAGACATGAGAAACGCCTAAATCCAAGTCCAAGTCATAAAGTCCAAGTTTTTGAGTCCAAGCGAAGTCCGAGTTTTAGAGTCCAAGTGAAATCCTAGTCCAAGTTTTAGAAGTCCAAGTCCGAGCATGTGTGGGAATGCATTGTGTTGTTATGGCCGCGTTGAAAAGTAAAAACACCACTGTACAGTTTTGCCGAATTTACAAATCAGCAAAAAAGCAGGGCATGCACGATTTTCCGACAGTCGAAAGGAATAAGAAGCACAGGTCTCCAGGCGCGCGTTGGAGGTGGGGGCGGCCGCCCCCCCCCCTTTTCGATCTTTGGCCGCCGTGGGGGCGGCGATTTTTCGGTTTTTGACCGCCGGGGCGAATTTAAAGTATGGCGCCCCCTTCCGCACCCCTCCGCCCCGACCAGTTTCTGGCCGCCAACCCGGCGGATTTTAGCCAAAACGCCGCCCCCCGGCGGCATTCCGCCCCCCCCTACCAAAAAACCCCAGCGCGGGCCTGCATGTTGGTACTGGAATGTTAATCCCAAAAATCGCGAGTCCTATGCACACTTAGACGGAAACCGATGGACTTGTATTAAGCTGTAAACCTGGATACATACATTATTACTTTGCACTCAAGGAAACGAAATGCACATTGAGTGTCCTTCCGTCCCGCAACAAAAGATCGGTTAGAGTAATTGTGGGGTATATGCACCAGCGTTTTGCGTCAAACATGCCCTTTCAAAAAATGCGAACATCAAAAGCGCGAATTATGCCAAACAGTCTACATTTCGAAACTGGTTAAACGAAATTATTGAAAACGGAAACCAGTTTCAAAAAATTCGGGGTGTCCTGGATAAAGTCCGTCTTGATGTAAAGAACGGTGTGCCGTATAAACAACTGGAATTGCAGCCTTTCTGATCTAACCATCAAGTTGATAAAACTTCTTACCAGCACTGTTGATCACTATTTAGTATGTACTGTGTTAAAGTGACAGTTGATGAAGGCTCGGGCTGTAATCGTAATCGGACGTGTGGGTTATGATTAGACTTCGTAAAGGGATATTAACAACTTAAAAACACTCACATTTTAATTTTGCGAGAAATTTCCTGGCGCATAGCAAATTGACTATGCGCCAGGAATTTTCCTGGCGCATAGCACTTTCGATAATGAAAACCCAAAATAGTGGACTAATTAATTACATAATTTATTACTGGTAACACAATAAATTTATTAGGAAACGGCGCAGCTTGAAAAATTTCTTAAATAAGCAACAACAATAAATAAATAAAAAAAATTAAATAATTACAATTTCATAAATAAATGCAACTTTAAAAATTAACGCTAGAGTTAATAAAAATATTAACAAAAAAAGTAACAAAAACAACGGATTAAATAAAAAAATACAACAGGAGTTACAGGACTAATTAATCACAGAATTTATAAATGATAACAGAATAAATTAATTAGGAAACAGCACAGCCTGAAAAAACTTCTTAAATGACCAAAATAAATACTTAAAAAATTACCGAAAGAAAAAATAAAAATCGTCAAAAATTATTAACGAAAAACAGCAACAGAAAAAAACGGATCACATGAACAAAATACAACCGGACTAATTAATTACACAATTTATTAATGACAAGTTGACAACAGAATAAATCAATTAGAAAACAGGACAGCTTGAAAAAAATTCTTAAATAACCAACAACAATAAATAAATCCAGCTTCTTAAATAAATACAACTTTAAAAATTAACGCTAGAATAAATAAAAATCGTCAAAAATTATTAGCGAAGAAAAGCAACAGAAAAAAGCGGATCGCATAAACGAAATACAACGGGACTAATTAATTACACACTTTTTTAATGACAACAGAATAAATCAATTAGAAATCAGGACAGCTTGCAAAAAAATTCTGAATTACTCAACAACAATAAATAAATACAACTTCTTAAATAAGTACAACTTTAAAAAATAACGCTAGAATAAATAAAAATTATTAACGAAAAAAAAACAACAGAAAAAAACGGATCAAATAAACGAAATACAACAGGACTAATTAATTACATAATTTATTATTGACAACAGAATAAACCAATTAGGAAACAGGACAGCTTGAAAAATTCTTAAATACCCAACAACAATAAATAAATCCAACTTCTTAAATAAATACAACTTTAAAAAATAATGCTAGAATAAATAAAAATTATTAACGAAAAAAAACAACAGAAAAAACGGATCAAATAAACGAAATACAACTGGGTGTTAATTAATTACATAATTAATCAATGATAAGGTGATAACAGAATAAATCCACTTACGCATGACGGGATAGACGGAGCACCAGTTCAACACCCAGAAGAGCCATTCCAGCCGCACCACGCAACTGATTTCCCGCACCAACCGCCACTCCGTCCAGCCGCGCGCCCACTGCGCCACCCACCGCCAGGCGGCGGTTCCCAGCAGCCACAGCATGACGCAGTTGCCCAGGACCATCCCGAAGCACAGCGTCTCGAAGAAGCGCCCCACATCGCCCATCAGAATCAGCCGGCGCAGCAGCGAGAACCCCGGCACCTGGGCGTCGCGGGTGGCGAACTCCTGGACAATCTCGCGGATATTCCCGGCGCTGTCTTCCACGCGGACCGTGAGGGTGTGGCTGCCGATGGCGTAGCGACTGGCGTCCCAGGGGAGGGTGAATAAAGGACTGCTGCTGCGGACGCGGGTGGCGGTTTGGTAAGTGGTGGCGTCGGGGAGGAGGATTTGGACGGAGTGGATGCCGTGCGGGGAAAAGGCTAGTACGCTGCAGTTCAGGGAAAATTTGTAGTAAATTTTTTGATTTTTCCACAAAAAGCTAGCTTTAAATAAAAAAAAATAAGTGGAAAAAATCAATGAAGGAAAATAAATATTAAATAATCTTAAAGAGAGACAAATATAATCTATAAACGACTGCAAAGTCCAAAGTGTTATAAAAAAAACCGGTGAGGAAAATAAAGGATAAATCACCAAATTTTGTTTATCAATAACAAACTTCAAAATTAGGGAAATAACAATAAGGAAAAACAAATAACGAACTAATGAGAAAATAAATAAATAACCAACTAATGAGAGAGACAAACGTAATTCCTAAGCGGATGCAAAGTCCAAAGTAGTATAAGAAACTGGTCAGGAAAATCAAGAAAAAGCCATCAATAAAGAGATGAAAAAAATTAAAATTACAAGTGGTTTTAAAGCTCAGAACATTATAAATTCAAAGCAAAAAAATGGACACTGAATTAAAAAATGCAGGAACGTTTCCGGGCTTTAGAAACGCACCGGCAAGGGAAATCAATATTAGTTAAAGCGTCAACAAAGAAGCAAAAACAAAGCCCAAAATATTAGAAAATGCAAAATATACAAAATAAACACGGAATTAAAAGTACCTCTACAGGAAAAGTAACAAATTTCAATAATAACACACTGATAATTACCGGATGTGCGTGGAGCGGGCGATGCGATCCAGCGGTTCATGGACCGGCGCGTAAAAGCGCACATTCTTCGGGTTCGTCACCAGCACAATCGGCCACTGATTGAATTCGTAATCAGCAAACGACATCAGATCGTGGTCAATAGCCGCGATACGAAACCTGCCCATTATTACAAAGTCATTTCATGGAATGTTTTTTTCCTGTGACTGCGTACAATTATTTCTAACTGTCAAGTAAATTTTAAAATCAATAATTTTTATTGCCACCAGTCTGTTGAATTTCCACAACAAACTGCAGAAATATAAAATTACTCAATTAAATTATATCCGTCAGTATATCTTTAAAAACGAAGAAATACCTAGTACTGCAAATCATGAAAAGTTTTCACAGAATTATTACAAAATTTATAATAAAATTATTACACAAACGTTATTACAGACTTTTTGAAAAATTAAGACGAAAATCATACAAAATTATTACAATACAGTATACACAAAAAAGTATCGCAAAAAATAAGCAGAAAAATCTGGCACTTACAAGCGGTTGGCTTTCCAATCGCCCAGCTCCAGCTCCAGTGTGCCGCTTTTCTGCAGCGCATACAGTTCCGGCGCCAGACCGCCCAGGGTGTGCAGATGCCCGCTGAGGTAGGCCACAGCGCCGCTGCAACACAACACGACGCATTTCACACACGTTTCCCATCCGGTTAAAGAATACCATAAAAATATTTTAAGGTAAATAAATAAATACAAAAAAATTTTAGATTCACAGGCAACAAGCATACCGATGCACCGCAATACGCTGCTTCCGTTGCCAAAGTAAGAACAAACTAACAATTGTAAGTACGCTAAAAAAGACCTATTCAAAATTCTTAAAATAATAAATTAAAAAAGTCAGGAAACAGAATTTAAAAATAATTAGTACAAATACAAAAAAGCTTGAAAACGTTAAAATAATCCTGTTGAACAAAATACCGGCGCAAGTCATTACCGCATAGTGTGGGAGATTCCCGGCGGTGGGGAGCTGATGTAGGATGTCGGATAATGACCGAACCAAATGGTCACGTTACTGCTCTTGGCATCGTCCGCAAACCGGTGCAGCTCTTCCATTTGTTGCTAAAAAAATTGGGAAAACTATTTCGAATGTTGTAAATACACCGGGATTATTTTCCAGTGTGTTAACTAAAACCCAATAAAAATAAACGTGCCTGAAATTCACAATTCCTCAGAAAAATGGCTGCAAAATGGCTCATATGCGGCAATAATAAAACGAAACAAATTATTGTTTTTAAGTTTTACAAAAGGCTATGTTCTTTCTAATTAATAAGTCAAATTTTTATTATAAATTTTTTTTTATTAGACAAATAATTACTAACCATAAGTTGCAGAATGGTTTTAAATGATTCTTATAACGGTATAAATTCTAATACAAGGTAAAATAAATTTAAGATTCATAAATAGAACCAATAAAATTTACTTAAACAAATCAATAATTCAAACACAATACAAATAATAAATACAACAAAGTTTAAAAAGAAATCAAATTCCAGCAGCATCTAACGAAATGATGTGACTAACTTCGGTAATGATTCCGAAGAAATTAAACGGTCGCCGGAAGCCGGGATCGGGAGTGGCGTCCATGGCGATGAAGGACACACTGTTGGCTCCGTAGCGATGCACGTAGTGGTACGAAGTGAAATTTCCCCGCGACGCATGGGTTCTGCCGAAAATTTTGAACAATTATACTCCAAGAAATATCAAAGAAAGTTGCGATTTAATGAAAATCGATATAACATTTTTTAATGAAGCTTATAATCTTATATATTATTGAATACTGAGACAATTTTTAAATCTAGATTTAAATCAAACTTCAAAATTAATTTTCAGTAAAATCTGCAACCGGCAAATCTAGGAAATATTTATGCAGCGGCATTTAATTAGACACTAATAAAATTTACCTACTGAATTTATGTACAAAGTCAAACCGAAATTTTCAAGAATATTTCCCTATACATGAAACCGAAATGTCAATGAAATCCACTAATTTATACTTACCGGAAATAGTTCATTTTGCTGTCATGCGAAGGCACATTGAACGTATCTGTAAATGAATAAAAATATCATTTATTATTCACTGCGTCAATCAAACTCCGACAGCAGTCGGAAAACAAAAAATTTGCTCTAAATGCAATAAAATTTCAGAATCCAATACATTTTTAAAATACAATCTGGACTGCGTAGTGGCAACGCTTTCCTCCCGTTTTGCTAAATTACAAGCTTCCTAAAAATTTTTACTTGATTAACTTCCATCTGATGATTTACACCAAAGAGTTTCTCTGTTTCTCGTACACTGTAAACTTTACAGTATAATTCAGAAATTATTACAATTAACAATCTCGTATTCTTTCCTGTTTCAATTTTCCGCGAATAAATTGCGCAAAAATAAATACAAACCGAAAATCTGTCTTAATTCTTCGTAAATTTATAAATTTTCTTCTAAACAGCAAGGAGGAAAATAAAAATTAAAATGAAAGAATAATCTAGAAAATCCACAAAACATTAAAAGAATAATCGCAGGTGGTTTAATTCCGCTAAAATCTCCTCTGTATGCCTGGCAATCCACAAAGCGAATTTATTACCATGATTTCCCCGAATATCCAGCCAGACGGTTTTCTCCGTGACGCGCGATTCGCGCAGCACGCGCGCATAATCCCTCCATTCCTGCTCGTTCTGGCCGGAGGAGAAGCTGGTGCGCCGTTTGGCGTCCGTCAGATCCCCGCTGGCCAGCACCACGCTGGGCCGCACCGCGTCCACCACGACGCTGCAGAACTCCTGCAGCTGCGCGATGCGCTCGGGCTCTTCGTACTCGTTGATGTGCAGATCGGTGATCTGTGGAAAACCTCCAGCATCAATCAGCATCATCAAACAAAAATAAAAACCAATTTTCTCAGGATAAACTACGCGATTGTCGTTACATCCCAGTACGTCATCACGTTAATGACCAGTTCGATACAGGGAAAACGCGCTACCGAAGAAAATTACCAAAATAAATTCCGATTTCCCTACAACTAAGCGGTAGTCGTTATATCCCGGTATGCAAGCACGTTACTCAAGGGCGCCCATACATGGAAACAGTTTTTAGAAGGGTATTAAACTAAAATTTTTAAATTTGTTGCTGATTGTCTTTTTTTGCTACCTGCATAAACCACATGAGATTATCGAGAGTATCCCGCGGAGCCACGTTGGCGAAATGGGCGCGCCGTTCCGCCAGCACGTCGGGATCGTCGAAGTGGCGGAACACGGGCAGCACGGCGTAGCTGACGGTGATGGTGTTGATGGCGATCATAACCGCCCACGAGACGACGATGATCGGGGCAGCCAGGATGAGCAGTGCTTTCAACGGGAAGCCCATCGCAACGACCACGTTGCCAGCCCGAGAACACAGCAGAATATCACGTAGGGATGAAAAACAATCGGAGAATTATAACACAGCTGAATTTATTTATGAATTTATCTTGCTCGTTAGAATCATAATCAATAGTTAATAGTAGTACTGTATCAATACTGTATTTATTCATGAAATATTGAAATTTTGAAAAAAAAACACTGGAAGACCAAAAACACACCATAACCGCCACGGACTGACAGCTTGAAGCAGTACGATGGGTAAACGCCTCCCCGCGGCGAGTTGCCCATTTCACAGAACCTGCGTTATTATCTGCACTCTGAGTCTGCAGATTGTTACTGTAAATAAATTTTCGGCAGCGCGCATTTCGTTTACACTTTACATACAGTCTACAGAGATTACAGTCATACTGTACCGACTACAGTACGACTGTACGAGTATGTCATACATCTGCTAAATTATGCTAAAGTTTATGATTTGAGCATTATGCTAATACTGCTAACTGCTAAGTGCTAACCAAATCATCCTCTGCCCAGCCTGAACTTTGAACCAATTTCCCGACGCCCGGCTGAGTCGCGGGAAACGTGCAGCGCTGTCAGCACGTGACGTGCTGCACGTCTCACGGGTTTACGACAAATTTGTGCGTGGAATTTGCAGCACGTACTGTAACTTGCTGCACGTTTCAGGAGTCAACCGGGCTGGCACGGTCCACAGTGGTGACGGACGGCACCACGTACGGCTCTGCAGGGTGCCGCAACAGCCGGCTTCGCCGGCGCTCGCACATCGGCACTCCTAGGCCCGCCTCGTGCAGGCAGCATGAATAAATTTCGTTAATTTCGAGCTTTATCATCTTAACAAAAGGTCATCTTAACAAAAGTATCCAACTGTTTCCGGCATGCAAAACTGGTGCGGGATTTGACAAGTCTCGCAATGTCTTCGCGGTTAAGAATCAAAGAAACAAATTAGACTCCAAGATAAACTGGTTTTTTATGTTTAACTGATTCGTACTGTTCGTGAACGTACATTTCAGTGGGTTCTTTTCCATCTGGCCCTTTACTTAACTCTTCAGATCCTTGTGACACCAGTGTGACTAGCAAAAATGTCCCCCCTGTCCCTCTGGACATATCTGCCGGTCATACATCCTTCCTTGAATTCAAAACTGAGATCCAGCTCGGAGCTCAGCAGGGTATCCAGATACTGCAAATTGTGGAGTTACAGTACCACTAACTCACTATGACCATTGCCAGCTTTGGTTCTGTGTTCGCTACAATTTCCGCGCGTTGACACTTACTTAATGTAGCATAACCATCGTACGGTAATTATGTTAATTCAGTAAGAACTATTTTTTACCGCTTTAACCACAAACATAGCAGTTGTGTCACAACTGCTATGTTTGTGGTAAATCGGTAAAAATTGTGATATCGTATATACACGTACTTCGATTCTTCCGCTTCATCTCAGCACCAGGTCTGTTAGCGTTTATACAATATGTGAGTGTGTGATTTATGTTCTGATTAGATGTGTACCTGACATTGTACACAGTAGTTGATTCTATTAATAAATTTTCGAATTTTTCTAATTTTATTTTTTAAGTTTTTTCTTGCTGGCTGACTGGCCATTTCCACGTCTAAACACGGAAAGCCATACGGTAGTGGGATTATAATAAAATACACTTTTCCACGTGTGGGGCATGCACTGATGCACATGTTGTACAAGTATCCGTGAAAAACGTTTTTCTGATTCAAATTTTGATACTATCATCAAGGCAGTAGTTATTGGAAAGCAGCAAAAATGATTGAGAACAAAATGAGCGCAAAATGGTGTTTGTTTAATCACATCATAATCATGCACTGTATAATAAAAAAAAGAAAATTGCAATGAAAACTAATGAAATGAATGAAAATGAATAATGAAAATTCATCGCTTCACGTGATCGTTGGCTTAGTTAATTCTTGACTAACTAAGTAAGACTGTCGTTCATCCACACAAAGGATTTCAGCTGTTTCCGACACGAGGCACTGATGCGGGGTTTGACATCGCTGACATTGCCCTCGCGGTCATGAGAGCTCAAGCACAGTACCACTTCCCCACTGTTATACCAAAAACCAAATTAGGCTCCAAAATAAACGGTATTACCATATTTACATGTTATGAATTCGTTGTCGTACGTACATATCGGTCAGTTCTTTTCCATCTGGCCCTTTACAAAACACCACCCGGTCCTCGTTGCAGGCTTCCTTGAATGGGATATTGAGATTCAGTTCGTTGATGTTCGCCTGCCGAGTAAATGAAACACCGGTCATAACTGCAGCTAGACGGAACCGGTCACGTGAATCACTGACCCTTTGGTAGTGCTGAATCTCAGCCTGGCAAGTCCTGCCCATCTCGGTGGCCTCCTTGAAGGGCATCAGGCACTGCATGGCATCGGCGAGGGTGAATGGATTATACAGTACTCCGCGACAGAACTTCTCCAGCATTCTGCCGCAGCTATAGTAGGCGTTGCTCAGTTTGGGGTGATGATGAACGGCCCGGGAGTACTCAATCAGGGCGGCCTTGCAGTCTGTCTGCAATTTGGCGTAGTGATTTTGCAGACAGTTCACCTCCTGCTCGGTAGACAAAACACCAAATATCAGTGGCAAAGCCGGTGCAAACTTCAGTCACGGGAACCAGGAAGGCCACAATAAACATACCGTCTGGTGGAAATTGCGCTTCATGATAGGAAAAAGTAAAAAAGAAACGGAAATGGGAAATTTACCGCGGACGTTTATTACACCGTCGAAAGCTTTGGCCAGTTACAGAGTACATAGGATTAAAGCTATTTTCCAATCTTCGCTAGCAGAAGCGGTTTTTGCGCCACGTACATCGCAAATGTCTAAGGGATGTGTAAGCTATTGCTAAACGCAAGATTGCGTGTACGCTTTTTCGGCAATACTACTCGTATCTTGCTGAAAAAAATTGCCCCTTATTGTACCTGGCCCGGGAGGAGCGGCTTGTCTGAGCAGAAGTTGGCCAGATCAGGAATGCATACCGTGTCGATATGCGGAGGCAGATCATGAGCGAGGACCCGCCGGCGCGCCAGCTCCAAGACTTTACACTGGCACTGCGTGGTTAGCTGCACATAGAGCATCAAAGTTATTTAGCTGCAGCACCGCACACCAGACGAATTCATAAGATTACGTTCAAAATTGTTAACCCATACATCGTCTTTAAAAGGTGCCGTAACAATAGCGTTCCGATACAGACAGCTGATGGCGACTGGACCGGCATCCGGCACCTGCCAGCGATCTTCATCCTGGTACCGGTCCTTCAACCCGCATAATCTGAAGCCTGAATCCTTGCAGGCGAAGACAAGTTCCCCGTTCATCCGGATATTCCGTGACACAAAGTAATGCAATTCCCGCAGATGTTTCTCGCAGTTCTCCGTCATCTCCGGAGCCCCAATGTTTTCCATCAGGCAACCCATCATACTACGAGAACCACAATGACCATCGACTATCCAGTTCAATATCGAAGTGAAACTTCACTTACTGCTGCGCGGGCGCATGCATATTGCCTCCACAACAGTTGTAGATTATGTTGGCACATGCCTAAGACGATGATTGCTCACAAATCACAATTAAGAAGACACAGGTGATTGAACGGTAAGACAACATGCTCTTCCGTTGAAGCCAAATTAGCAGATCAGCCGACCACACTTTCAATGGCACAGCCGGCACACGTTTGTACAACCTTCCATAACAGTATCGGTTATTGTAAAATAAACGTCTGCAAGCTGCAATTAAATACGTCGAACAGTGGTCTTAGCTTGAGCGCCGGTCCAGGAACAGATGCTGTTCCAAATTATACTGTTCGACTGCCACATGTACTGGCCTACATGGGCCAGGGTCAAAAAGAGGGAGGAATTTTGAGAGGGAGGAATTTCTGCGTGGTCAAAAAGAGGGAGGAATTTCTGAAGCGAGGGAGGGAGGAATTTTGATATGGTCAAAAAGAGGGAGGAATTTTTTCGAAGTTCAAATGAAGTACTTAGGGACCTCGAACCCAGGTCACCGAGGTCGCCACCGAGGTTTTCTCATTGAGCGGGCGAACGAAGCCGGCCTGCGTTTCTAATTCAAGACATGTTGAGGGTTCGATGAAACGGAAGTTCCAGTGACCTTTAGGTCGCCACGTGACCTTTGGATTGCCACCGATTTTCATGGTGATTCCTGTACACTTTGACATTCTGAAGTACTCTGAACTGAAGTACTCGGGGACCTCGCACTGGGCCCCCGAGGTCGCCATCACGACATGTACCATATATACACAGTGTGATGTGCTGAGTGGAATTAAGGTACTCGGGGACCATCGAACCCGGGTCCCTGAGGTTGCCACTACGATATGTACTACCTATACACAGGTTGCTATGCTGAGTCGAACTGAAGTGCTGGGGGTTCTCGGACCCGCGTCCCCCAAGTCGCCACCACGATATATATTTTATAGAAGTATGCATACTAGTTGATGTGATTTATCAACCACTGCTGGAGGAAGTAGAAACCGAGAATATTTCTAAATATTCATAAATGTTTCTAATTTTTTTAACTAATATTTCTTATTATATTTCCACATATTCCTAAATATATTTCTTAATATTCCAGACATTATTTCAACATATATTTTCATAGTAAAAAGTATATCTGTAAATATGTCTTAACACAGTTCTGAATTTAGTTTTAATTATTCTAATATTAAACTTCTGGTTCTGCACGCATTTCTGCACATATTTCTACAATTTCTAGATATTTCTTAATACTTCTAAATATAATATTTCTAAATATTTTGATTATTCCAAAATATTTCTACATATTTTTTTCAATATTTCTCTTTAACCCTAAGAATATTTTTTTGTTATATATTTTAACATTTTTCTAAATTTATTTTTAAAATGTAAATATATTTCTAGATATTAATTGGTATTTTTCGATAGGTTCGGATATATATAATTATTTCTTGATACAATGCTGAATGTTTCATAAATATACTAATTATGTTATTAATTTTTAACTCTTTCTACTTCTTTTAAAACATTTTTAAATATTTCTGCTTCTTACTTGCTCTACCATTTTGTATTACATAAAACAAAAACGTTAAAATCCTGATTACAGTGTTGAGAATAATTGAAAATTAAAATACCGTTAACATAAAACTCGTTAATAAAACCAGGTTTTCAAAAACCGCCATTCCACTTTAAAATACCTAGATTTCAAAGTATTAAAATACATGGCATGTCGAATTTTATCTAACCAGAACGTCTACGTTTCTATCCCTGCTGATTTTGTTCTAAACAAATTACTTTATGAAATGCTACTGTAGAGATAAATTCGAACACCACTTTCAGAATAAATTTCTTAATGGTTACCGCAAGCTTTGGATCATAAATTCATATTCTTTTATCTGCGGATGACACGTTGTAACATAACTACACATGACACAATGTTTCGTAATGTGCCGGTTTGTTTTAAAACTCATTGAAATCTTATACAATGTGTAGTATCTCCTACCCGAGTAGTATAAGGTCTCATACGCCCTTAGGACAAGCGGGCTGCGGTTTCAAATTTAAAATGTATAAGGAAACGAATGCGCTAAGCATTTACACGTAAGTGCCGAAGCTGCAGAATCAGCCTAGCAGATAGAGCTTTTAGTTGCAGATCTAAATTTTATTATGAACCATCTTGTTACAATCGTACATGTAAATGCGCATAAGTGTGAACCGTTTTCATACCAAACAACTGATCTAGCAATTTTTTTTCATAAACACATTACAGGCATCGAAAAAAACTATTCTTAAGCTTGGAAAGATTTCCAAAAATTTGGTTCCGTCACTTCCGCGTGAAATCTTACCGATCAGTTGTTGCGCACAAAAAACGCGTTCACGCTCGTGTACGGACAACCACTAAATTTGCACGGTGTTTTAAAATTATTTCAAAGCACTATGGAGGAATGATTGACATCTCATTGTATAACTTCAGTACACAGCACCATCAAAGTTTTGTTGTCGGAGTTTTGCATACATCGTACGTTCTTCTCAGTATCGGGCGTTTCCAATTGATTTGACTATATTGTTTTTTTTAAAGATGCAAAATTATCCAAGAATAATATGCAATTAATTCTAATTTCTGTTTCAAAAATTAACTGCATACTGCTTTTAAAATAACTGCTTTTAAATTAAACAGTAATTAGACAGTAAATTTTTTGAGCGAGACCAACCGACAACCGTGCACATAGTGCAAGCGACTGCCAACCATCCACGGATGGCTGTCACCTGTACCACGCATACAGTGCAAACGATACCAAGCCCTTTCACGGGTGGCTGTTATGTGAAAAAATAATCCACTTGTGAGCGTGGTTGTCGGTTGGTCTCGCTGAAAAAATTTACTGTCGGTTCGACTGCACGCATCCTCGTATAGAGATTGAGAACGCATAGATGTGAACTTGTAGACACGATGTGAACTAGCCTAGCGGATCTAATATTAAGAAATATCTAGAAATATTTAAAAGTTGAAGAGATACGTACAGAAATATCAGAAAACATAATTTTGGAATAATCAACAATTCATTCAGAAATGTTTTAAAACATAATTGTAGATTCGAGGGACGCGGTTCCGAGGTCCCGGAGCACCTCAGCTCGAATTAGCATAGCAAACAGTGAATATATGTTACATATGGTAGTGGCAACCTCTGGGACTTGGGTTCGGTGGTCCCCGAGGACTTTAATTCCACTCAGCACATCACACTGTGCATATATGGTACATGTCGTGATGGCGACCTCGGGGACCCAATTCGAGGTCCCCGAATACTTTAGTTCGACTCAGCATGTCAAAGTGTATAGGAATCACCATGAAAATCAGTGGCGACCCAAAGGTCACGTGGCGACCTAAAGGTCACTGGAACTTCCGTTTCATCGAACCCTCAACATGTCTTGAATTAGAAACGCAGGCTCGCTTTGTTCGCCCGCTCAATGAGAAAACCTCGGTGGCGACCTCGGTGACCCAAGTTCGAGATCCCCGAGTACTTCAGTTCGACTCAGCCCTTCAAACTTGTTATACAAAGGAGATTCCAAAAATAATTTTCCCTATTCTGTCTCCCTGCGATTTTAGGTTATACACAAATGGTATAATTTTTGCTGGATAACCCATTATGTAAACTATGTAAAGAAATAAGAATCAAAAGAATCGAAGAAGAACTTGCCAAACAAAAAACGAAATGGTGAATGCTGCTTTTGCACTTTTTTCAGCACCTTTTTTGAAAATTATTCTTTTTATTGCAACTTCTGACCTGGCAATGTTTTCAACAAAAAACTTAAAGTGTCAACTGCAAATTTAGTACGTGATATTATTGCGATGGCAGAACATTTTGAAAAGCTCAGGATTAAAAGTAAACATTTTTCTTTCATAAGACACCGAAATTCCCTTATTCCAGCCGTTTCGCTTTTATAAATTTATGATGCTTCCCATCGATAAAAAGCACATTTTATGGCCAGTCTTGCGCATCTCAGATACCAAGAAAGTTTGCATTCCACCGACAACAGCAAATTTTTTCATGAAATTTTCTGTTTTTTACCGTCTGGATGCTGCGATGCTTTCTGATTTTAACACCTAGTCCCAAGCAGTTTTTATTTTTCTAGAAAAGTGGTTTGAATAGGACATTTTGTTCAAAACTTTATTTTGTAAGAGGAAAGAATTGTTAACCTAAATATATTTTCTGCATCAAGGAAAATGAGCAGAAAGATTGTGAAAAGTAGCAAAAACTGTCCGGGAAAATCACGTGAAAAACTTTGAAAACCCTTTGGTGTTTCTTTTGGTATTTCTTCCCCATTTGATTGTAATTAAACAAAATAACTTCTTTATACAGTTTGCTAATGAAGGACGTTTGTAACAATATGGATGATATTAGCTGAATGCGTTAATGCCGGGAGATACAAAATAGGGAAAATTAATTTTGGAATGTCCTTTGTATAATGAAAATCTCGGTGGCGACCTCGGAGACCTGGGTTTGAGGTCCCTAAGTACTTCATTTGAACTTCGAAAAAATTCCTCCCTCTTTTTGACCATATTAAAATTCCTCCCTCCCTCGCTTCAGGAATTCCTTCCTCTTTTTGACCACGCAGAAATTCCTCCCTCTCAAAATTCCTCCCTCTTTTTGACCACGCAGAAATTCCTCCCTCTCAAAATTCCTCCCTCTTTTTGACCCTGGCCAACACGGCCAAACACAGGCCAAACACATGTACGCTTTGCCAAGACGCATTACCTGATGCAATACCAAATCCACTCGAATGTCGCTAGCCGGGTCAGCTATCAACAGGAGCTTTTCCAGCTTGCGCTGGCAGGCAGGCTCCAACTGGCCAGCGTACTGGCTCTCGTTATCGTTTTGGCTCCTCCACATGCGAGGCTGAGCGGCGCCCATCAGGCAGTGTACGTAGGCCAGCGGCTGGACGCCCTTCTTCCTGCAGTGACGCTCAATGTCCGTCTTACAGAACACCAGAATATTCGGTGACACGTTGATGTTGTTCATCATGGCTTGTCGATGGTAATACATAGCTTTCTGACATTTGGGACCAACACCGTGGTGAGCTGGTAAAAGAAGAGAGAAAAGAGTTACCGGTGGTCTGTTTCCTATCAACGCGGGAGCTTTATCGGAAACAGACAGAAATAATGAAAAGGAAGAGAAATATGTTCTACCGTCTTTGTGCATTTGTTCCTGTAGGCAGAGAATGATGGAGGACATGCCGAACTCCTGCGGGTGTACCGCCGGCGGCACGCAGCTGTAGCGGGAGACCTCCCTTCCTCAATCGTAACTCAAGCCGTAATCTACCTTGTAATCGGTGTGCGCGGCCACTTCACGCTCTTCCAAACGGCTTTTGCACTAAAGCACACACGTATGAAATCTTACGCGCGCTCGACACTTAGCGGACATATTCCGTATTTTTGTAGACCACTGAGTCAATTAATGACCCAATGACACCGTGACTTTGTAAGGGTATTGAATGAGGTAGTTTTTCAAGAACGGTTTATGGCTTTTGTTGTTTACGCAAATTGAATGGACGAACGTGTCGCAGACGTCTATTCGATTTTTCTAATGAATTAACTAAAAACTTTGTCTCATTGCTCTCCATGAAAAATGTAATAAGAGATGTAACAAAAGACAGGAAAAAACTGGTTTTTTCATTTTGTAATTCGTCCATGGTTTTTGTGAATGTAATTTTTTGTGAGATTAGTACTGGATAGTAAGTAGTTTCCTAGAACCGCTTACCTATGTGCCTAACTAGTAAAACGAGAAGTTTTACGTAATGTTGCATTAATAAATTCTTATATTCGCGAACTGATGCTAATGCATAAAAATTAAAACTTTAATTTTGGAAAAAAGTAAGAATCTAAGGAATTTGAACACGCTTGCAATCACTTTGCTGACAGGCCCAGACAGTGACAGACTGACAGTGTAGTAGAATTCATCAGTTCGCGAACGGTGTGGAAATAAAAGAATTTATTAATGCAACAATACGTAAGTTCCATATAGTCGTGATACTTGCAACTGAATATGCTGATGTCATTTGTCAGTACACCTTGTGGCACTTTTCTTAACCCTGAGTTTGTAGTAGAGTATTTTGCATTTTGGGGCACAGAGCTAAATCTTAACGGGATTTTATTGCGGGGATGGGCGTCTAAATTGGGACGGGTGAAAAACTTAATACGGATAAGTTGGCTAACCTACTTCCAGGCTCATTTGCGGCTCGTTGATGTTTTGCAGCAAGCACTGATACACCCGTCCATGACCGGCCAAACGATCTTGGCAAAACATCTCCTGGTCATCCCGGCACGCCAGGAAAAGCGCCCGATCGAGACGATAATCCTCGGCCTGCAGTTCCAGCAAGTACATGAGCTGATGCTGATATACCGGTGACAACTGTTTTTCTGGCGGGGATGCCGACCAACGCAGGCCATCCTGTCGACCGGCTTGATCCTCCAGGGCAATGCGCTGCATCCGCTGCATTTCGTGCAGCAGACACTGGACGGATGCGCCTTGGGAATGCCGGCCCTTGGATCGTCCCTCGTTGTTCAAGAAACTGCACTGCAGGCGTTTCTGGTCGACCGCACAATCGCTGATGAAGTGCGCGACCAGGTCATCATCGGAGAAGATGACAACGGCCACTTTGTTGATCCACACCAGACACGATTCGTCGGGGTTATTGTATTTTTGCCCCACCACGCAGGACAGGAAGAATCTGGGATCCCTCTGCCGAGTACCGGGGCAGTTCGCTAAGGTCTTGTTCAGATCCTCGCGGCACTCGGTGTGGATGATGCTGGCAATCCGTGGGTCCTTGGTGATGTTCTTTTGAAATCGCCCATGATCTACAATCGACCTGAACACTGCCAAAATATTTAATTTGCGTATTATCATAGTAGCTATTTTTATTAACCATCACCACATTTTTCCTCCTAAAAACGTATATGGTACGGTTTTGTTCTTTTACGATACCGTAACAGATGGTAGTGGTACCTCACCGCTAACTGCCGATGGGACGTCATTAGGTGAAAAGACAGCTTGTGGCGGGTATTAAATTTATATCGAGAAACTTTTTGCGGCAGATTCATTGAACCGTGACAGGTTCTTATATGCGGTATACGACTAGAATCAGTCGTAGCATATATGAAACTGTAGTTTCGGTTTTTGGTCTTCGATATCCGTGTGTGAACAAAAGTAATTTTTGGCGCCCGTAGAGTACGGAAGGGTCCGGCCGGTTGAAGGAATCGGTGGGGCCTAACAGTCATGTGACATGAGTCATGTGACATGAGTCGAGTAACGATGCGTGAAAGTTCTAGATGGCGTTGTTAGCTCAGCATCTTTTTTAGTTTACATTATGTGCTCCTACATTATGTAGGAGCACAATGCATCGGTTTCATCGGTTCTTGGAGGAGAAAAACGGAATTTTAGTATCAACGTAATCCAATATCTCCTGCAATGTGCTCCTACATAAATATGCTCCCACATATGTAGGAGCACATTGCAGGAGCATATTGCATATTGTATGTGGACATTATAAGGGGTAGGAATATAAAGCCTGAATAGAGAATTTAATAATATAGTAAATTATATTAAAGGTGATATGTTTGACGAAAAGTCATAATGAAAAAAGGGTGAATGTTGAATTAGGGTGAAGGTAGTGGGAGTTTTACTGTAGTATAGTATAAATATATTCGACTTTCTGGTTGTTGGTATTTGAGTGTTTAATGAAGTGTTACAGGAAGTGGAGTGTGTTGCGGGCTGTAGATAGTGATGGATTATTGTGGAAAATTCAAGAAATTTCGAGAAGGTTGATTGTTTAATGGAGCGAACTATTATGCTTTGAACTGATAGTCTTGGATGTGTAGGAACAGGTGGTTTGTATATGGAAAGTAGGTTGGTAGGTACATTAAAAGGTTGTTCGAGAAAATGTATAGTTTAATTGGTTTTGACTGGATTTTTTGAGTTCGGTGGGTATATAAGAAGTTGAGGAATCTTGTGTTTGAGTTATTATGGAGTGGACGAAGTAAATGGAGTGAGCAAAATCTTTTTCTTGTTGGTTTTTTTTTGGTGGCCGGTGTGGATTTGCGGAAACTTACTGAATCAGGTTGCAGTCTTTTGTTTGGCTTTGGTAGGTTTTTTAGGTTGAGTATGGTTTACTAAGTTATCTTTCATACATTATTTTCGTTTAAGAATTCTTTATTTAATAAAATAATGGAAGGTGGTTGTGCTCGTAAGAAATACATGCGTGAGTATATGCGTGATTATAGAAAGCAATGCAAAATAAAAACTGATGGTAATTGTAGCAGGGAGGATAATGCGGGAAGTGGTGACGATGTTAGATATGAGAATGTAAAAGTTAAAAAACAAAAATGTAATCGGAATACTAAAGGTGGTGCGTTTTCTGGTATGTTTGGAAAAACTTATTGGAGAAAGGTCATGGTTGCTTATGTGCCGTGCGATTGTTGCAATATTTTAGTTGCATCTGATTTGATTGGTAATAATTCAGACATGTTACATAGTGATTTAAAAGCTGATGCTAGGCTATGTGCAGGATGTATGACTTTACATAAGCATAAAATTTTTAATTTTTGTGTTTATGATTTACGGCGGAACTGTTTAGATATTGGTAGAGAAAATTGATTAAATAATCTTGGTTACATGGAAGTCCAGGCAGTGCGTGTAGTACAGCCTTTTTCGACAATATTGCATTTGAAAAATAGCTTAACAAAATGTGTAAGGCTATTATTTCATGTAACTAGTGATCCTAGTGAAAATTTACCAAACATTTTCTCGAACAACCTTTTAATGTACCTCCCAGCCTACATCCCATATACAAACCACCTGTCACTACACATCCAAGACTATCAGTGCAAAACATAATAGTTCGCTCCATTAAGCAATCAAGTTTCTTAACTACACAAATTACTACTACACAAATTACTACTACAAAAATGACGGTGTAAACGTATGGAAAGTTACAGACTAAACGCGCATTTTTCAAGGTCTCAACTGTAGTAAAGGAACACCCACAACCTCTCATGTCCTTCATACACTCACAAAATTCTTTCCCCTACTATTATTATTCCTTTTATATACACAAATCCGAAATTATTTTAAATTCCAGTATTCCTCTTTCTTATCCCGAACCTGCCGCTACACAATCGAGAGATTGTCCACGCAGTGTATTCATTCAGCTCTTTCGAATACGATTTGTGAAACCGCTGTACTTAGATCTGTGTCAAATTTTCATAACACCGAAAAGTTGAAAATGCAGTCTTAAAACTGCAGTGGCCAGTGGGTACCATCAGCGGCTTACGATAAAATTCGCAGCGGCGTATCTGCGCTACGACGAGCCTTTGCGGATTTCCGCATACATACAGTAACTGCCTATGGCTGTTACTTCAACCATAAAAATAGCTCCAAACTACGAACAGCTACAAACCGAAGACATCGCACTCAGCCATATCTTACTATGCTACACCAACCATAAAATTTCCAAAGTTTTTAAAAGTGTGGATCCCAGCAAAAAACGTTGCAGTTAACGTTTCTAAAATTGAATAAAACACCGAAATCAACCAGTGAGAAGCGCAGTGAACTCTGGATAGAAATTATTTACTATCGAACACGAGCAAAAGATAGTTCAATAGAGTGATAACCAGAGGCTGCAAATGCACAACAGGGTAGCTGAAAACCCGGTGCTTGTTGACTCACCTGATGGCAGCCGGCGGAAACATTTTTGTCTTCCTGCAAAACAAAGCAGTTAATAAATTAAAGCGCGATTCAGAAGCGCGACCAAGAAGAATCATTACGCGGAGTAGGAAGCAGTTAAGCACGTCCAGACTGTTCTTGGCATCTATGATGGCGTCGGTGTACTTCTTGACGGACAAGTGCTCGCAGAGGCGGCGAACGTCGGCTGCGCAGTCCGGATGATCGGCAAGATTGAGGATTATGACCGAGGCGAACTCTGTCGTATTTGCGTGTTGACCTGCTGTCCGCCGCAGGTTTAGGCTGAAAACAAGCAGGAGACTTAGGCCGCAAAGAAGCAGGCACAGAGAGACGAACTTGGTCAACATGTAGAAGGCTTTTTAGGTATTTATAATCCGACTAAAAAAACGCAGCAGACACACGTTCTACATAATTCCAAGATTTCAAGGAATGGAATTATTCCATGCAGCGATAGACGATAATAGGATACCAGTGAACAACGAAAGCAAAGGCGTTTGTGCTGTCTTGACGGTCGGACGCAAATCAAATTGGACTCAAATTAAGTGGCATTGTGGAAGGCGCAGCGGATATTTCCCGTTTTGCTATGCCTGACGTAACAGTACGTCCCCTACGATTTTATTTCATTCCAGCCATAGGTGTAGTGATTGCTCTTATTGAATAGAAGTGGTACTTTCAAGAAAACGACGAGTTGGTATTTTCTTCAGATAACGTTATGCCGACTGCAACCGCATTACAGTGATTTTGGTACGCGTTTTGGCGTACTTAGTACAGAGGGCGTACGTACATATGAGTGTACGTATCACGGAGGTTTTACTGTAGTATAACTATTACTTAAGCTAACAGGTTGCAAAAATACAGGTATCTTGGAAATTTGTATGAGTAAGTCGTGTATGATTGTTTCACATCATGATCATGCACTGATCAGGCAAGAAATGCTCTGTACACATACCTCCAGGGCGTTGGACATATACAACATTTGCACACATACCCCTGGTGCTTACCTTTCATGCATGCGGCTAGTGTTAAGTATGAATAACACATGTACCATTATAAACCATGATTTTCATTTTTACTGTTTGCTGTGCAGCTCACACGTTAAAAAAAATTAAAACTCTGGTTAATTTAAAAAACTATCATTAATTTGAGAAGCACAAAAATATCAAAAAGACACAAAACGATTATTTGGACATATCCAAAAACCCTGCAGGTAGAGAAATCCAGTTTCATCCATCCACTAAACTTCTATGCAAGTATTTCCTTTATTTTTACAATAGTAAACCGTACAGTAGTAATTCTATGTATGTTTACAATACTAACAATACGTCTACAGCAGTAAATACATTATACATTATACAGTCTGGCCGTGGCGGACCACCGGTACGTATGATTGTACACTACGGCAGTAAATATAGTCGAGTACTCAACCCATTATAATGCTCAGTTTTGCGTGTGCCCTAGTCAGCTCATCATCGCAACTCACATCTCCACTCGACTAAACTCGCTTGCCATCACAAGCGCTAGAATCTCCTGTTGTTTACACAGGAATTTTCAGACCGCCAACACAGCAACAGCTTCCTACAGGTTACGGCGGATATCCGTCGTATACCTCATAGAGGAGCGCTTCTCACGGTTCGGCTATCGCCTGGAACCTGCCGAAAAAAGAAGAGGGCAGATTTCGATCCGGACAGTATGTGTAAACTAGCCCACGTTTCTCAATCTTTCCGGCTGTCTAGCGCCAGTACAACCTCTCTTGGCGGCCGCATGTTATGCTGCAGCTCGGGCGAACTGTTGGCCGGCATGAGGTCAACAAAGGTATCAATTTCACTGCTGTGCCGGTCCATCAGAAATAGAATTATTTTGACGGTTTCATAGACAAAGCATACCGTTTGGATCGGTAGACCTATTGATACCGTTTGTCAAATCTAATAATAAAAGTTTACTTTCCCAACGGTCTAATATGAAGATTATCAACAATCAACAGATGGATATTTCTGCCGGCTACAAGTGCCGAAATGAAATATTTTACCAACATCCCATCCTGTATTGCAGTCAACGCTATGACGAACAGTTCAAAATATCACCAAAAATAGGTATCTTCCCTGAATGCGACCTTTCTAATCTTAGCATCGAGCGGTTTTATCTGAACGGGCTGAATCCAACATCATTAATTTAACATCTATTACGAGTTGAAGTATTTATAATTATTAGAGTACAACTCAGGTTTGAACGTAATGAACATTTATATCACCTTTACCATTTAATCCGCAAGCTCAGCAGTTCTGAACCGCGGGGTACCTCTTATACGAGTGAAACATTGTCTGGTTATGCAACTTTCAAGTGCACAAAACGGAATGTTCTTTGCGTAAGACGTCACCTCTTTAATACAGGTGACGGCTGTATTGATACTATCTATAAAGCCCTCCCTAACACTCCGTTGTCGGGTCTTAGTGAAGCCATAAAATTATGGACTGACACCTACCGTTGTGAACTGCCAGCGGATAATGCTAGAAAATCTCAGAAAAGCTGGGACTGGCCGGTAGTTGAATTGTCTTATTCACGCTGGAGATTGAAAACCATGGAATGCGGAAGCGACAAGGAGATGGCGCTCTTGCTGGCTGCTTCAGAAAAAGACTCTGCAGCTTGGTTATACGCGTTACCGGCGGCCAACTTGGGCACTTTACTTTCAGATGAGCAAGTAAGAATCGCCATTGGCCTAAGGTTTGGACTACCGGTGGTAGCCCATCATGACTGCCAAGCATGCACATTTCCAGTGACCCCGAACGGACACCACGGCTTGACTTGTTCGTACAACAAGGGTAGATGGGGCCTGCATTCCGAATTAAACAGCATTCTTCACCGGGGATTCCTTGCTGCGTGTATCCCTAGTGAATTAGAACCAAAGGGAATGTCAGGAGACAATGGCCTGCGGCCTGACAGAGTTACTCTGGTTCCCGTCCGTGATGGAAAACAGCTGGCGTGGGATGCCACTTGCGCAGATACACTGGCACAGTAATACCTTAAAGGGACTGCCAAAGCGGCTGGTGCAGCGGCTCGGCAAGCAGAAAATCGGAAGCGTCAAAAGTACCGCTCCCTCGGAGAACAGTATCTGCTCTACCCTTTTGCGGTGGAAACGCTGGGAGCACTTGGAGAAGCCGCGAAAGACATGGTCAGCTTCGTTGGTCGCCTGATTCGCGGAAAGACAGGAAAAAACAGATCATATCGCTTTCTTAAAACAGCGCATTAGTCTTGCGATAATGAAGGGAAACGCTGCCGCAGTTTTAGGCACTTTGCAGGGCAGAAGTAAAATTGCGGAAGGGAGTGATTTTGGTTGTTTCTGGAACTTGTAACCGTAGTATGTAATCATTGTTGTTAAACACGAAGGAAACCAATTAAACAGTACCGAACAGTACCGTCTACAAAGCCGATAATATCAATACAGGCTGTATTGATATCGTTGCTGCTACCCGTATTAATTCCACTAGTGCTGAATCAGCTGCTGCGCCGTCTAGGACTCGTATCTTGGCCTAGTCCCAAGATGGTCGATTCTCGGTACATCTTCGCACCTGTAGCCTTCAAGCAACTGGGCCCGGGGGGAGTGGGTACCGTCGCCTTTTACCAGCCTACCACATTACCACAATGTATCAAAAAACTAAAGTAGGAAACCTCTTCGGAATCATTCAGGAAAGATTTCATACCTAGACAAATGGGAGTTGACATTTCGCCGCACTCAAATTCGACGCGCGACTCTTCGCCGCGAATATATTTCGTCGCGGGACGTTTGGACGCTGGGACATTTCGGTTTGGGGTATTTTGCTTTGAGACATTTTGTTTTGGCGACTGGAAATTCACCGCAAAGGAAGTCGGTACGTTTAGGGTTAACATGTTTTTCAGGTTTTCTTCTTATGATTTTAATGTTTTCTTATGTTCTTTATGTTTTCTTATGGCTCTCTTATTTTTTACAGTATTATGTATTTTCTTGTTTTGTAATCTTTCTCTTTACGACGACGTGCCTCGGCGTCGTTACGACCACACGACGAAAGGTCTCGCGGCATGGTGTCCGGTCGGCTAAAGGTCCCGCGACGAAAGGTGACGTGTCAAGATGACCTTGCGGCGAAATGTTTGCGATGAAATGTCTTGCGACTGATTGTCCTCGGCGAAATGTGTGCCGAAGATTTGCTCACAGGAATTCCTCTAATGACTTTCATTGGAGATTCCGCGGTGAAATGAAGCATCAGTCATATGCACTGCAACGAATCCATTCAAACGATAGAAGAAGCGGAAAAGCTAAGTGAACCTTCTCTCTGTTGCAATGGGTAATTTTTTTCATTTGTTTTGCTTTCTCTGTTTGATATGTAATCAGTAAGGAAACTGCGCGAGTTCGTGGTGCACAACGCTGCTGGTTCACTGTGACCTCTTCCGCCGCCATATCTTCGGTAAGTACGTCGGCCCGCTTCAACTTTCTTCCCCGGATGCCTCAAAACTCGCCTCCTGTTCTGCAAGGAAAACAACTACTTGTTGATGACCAAAACTATCCCGGGGTGAGTCGATAAGCCTTATCGGATATAGGCCAAGGCGTGCCGTCTTTTCCAGACTCAATACCACAAAAGAATTAACGGATCTTTTGAATCTCTTCCCATGGTGTCATAAGGTTCACTCTTATACAATTTTCTACTTCAGTTTTCCGGCTCGGTTTCTTACGGTTTCAGGTTCCGCCCCGAAAGGACGAATGAACCTGGTTAAGGTAGCGTGAGGGTATCTTTCTCCTCGTAACAGGCAAAAAGTCGGGACGGATGAGCCATTCGCCGGATGCATTGGTGGTTACCAGCCGGTCCAAAGAACCGTCCGCCGTAAATTTCGCCCACCCATTTGTTTGTGAACTATCCGATATTGGCGGCGATTTGGACTGTATGTTCGGAGGCGAACGTTTTTGGTGGGCTGCTATTCGGCGCCAGTCGGTTTTTAAACAAATTCTACTGCCGGCAGACAGCCCAAATCAATTCGGCAAAACGCCCATCCCTGCGCGAATTTTTTTGCGTTCGCCAGCCGTTTTCCCCAATTATCTCTCTCTCATTCCAAGAAGTAATAGCGCCAGCCTTGGCAATAATTTTCCAGAACAATTTTGTTTTACAATTGTTAAATTGATAACTTTGAGCCATGACAACTGATCACGAAGCGCTTGATGTAACTGAACCGCCGCTGACGGCGCTCGCCTTTAGTCGCTGTCCGCCTCTACTACTGGGTTTGCATGCCATTCGAAAACCATATTCCAACGATGGAATTTTCCGATCGTGTGCAATAAACCAGCTGACGTGTACAGTGAGCTTAAGCACTTTACGGGCAAAATCGATGTATATATAGTATTCTTATATTTGTATTGTCTTGTTGTTGTGTTGTGTTGTGGCGTGTTTTGTGCTGTGAGGTGTTTATGCTGTATTTTATTCCTTACTTTATTAGGCAGGGTGTAAAAAGTGGCAGTGGCACCTGCCACTGGCAGGTGCCACCGGCAATGGCATTTGCCATTTTGCGACTGGCAAGCGGTAAAACATGGCAATCTTCGAAAATGCAGAAATAACTAGAAATCAATCTGCCATAAAAAAGATTTATAAAACAAAATTAATTTCTATATAATTGATCTTTCTACACTC